CTCTCTTTCTCTCTTTCTCTCTTTCTCTCTTTCTCTCTTTCTCTCTTTCTCTCTTTCTCTCTTTCTCTCTTTCTATCTTTCTCTCTTTCTCTCTTTCTCTCTTTCTCTCTTTCTCTCTTTCTCTCTTTCTCTCTGTCTCTCTGTCTCTCTGTCTCTCTGTCTCTCTGTCTCTCTGTCTCTCTTTCTCTCTTTGTCTCTTTGTCTCTTTCTCTCTTTCTCTCTTTCTCTCTTTCTCTCTGTCTCTCTGTCTCTCTGTCTCTCTGTCTCTCTGTCTCTCTTTCTCTCTTTCTCTTGGGCGAGGAGAAGAGTTCCGGGCGAGGAGTTCAAAATCTAACAACCCCACACCGAGGGTGGGGAGAAAACTTCAAAGACCCCTTAGCCCCACAAAGTCATACACTACGCCCGCCTCCCATGAACCCAAACCCTAAACCCTAACCCCGAACCCCGAAACCCTAAAGCCTAAACCCTAACCCTTCGGGACTCTGATGAAAGCCCTGAAGTTCACTGAATGATCCCGAGGCCATCAGGTGGCCATCTCGAAGGATGACGTCGCATGGACTCCTGGGGCTTTAGGGTCTAGGGGATTTCGGGGATTTAGGGGGATTTTGGGGATTTAGGGGATTTAGGGTTTAGGGTTTGGGGGTGGAGGGTTTAGGGTTTGGCGGGTTTAGGAGGTTTGGGGGGTGTTTGGGGGTGTTTGGGGGTGTTTAGGGTTTAGGGGGTTTAGGGGGTTTAGGGGATTTAGGGGTTTTGGGGGATTTAGTGGGTTTAGGGTTTAGGGTTTGGCGGGTTTGGTGCGTTGACAGTGAGAGAGAGAGAGAGAGAAAGATTTTCACAAAGCGGCGAGAAGCAAGCAAAAGCCATCGAGCATGCACCACTTGAGCGCACGGCCGGAACCAGTCCACCTTCAGAAGTGAGCCGCAAAAAAACATACAAAATAATCCGAGGGGGGGGGCAGAAGCGCAGGCGCCTGTTTGCGCAGGACCATTCCATATTCCGACGACCAATACCTCGAGCAGAGCAGCAAGGGTGCCACCACCCTGAAGGTCGGCCTGCAGTTTGCGCCTCGGCTCCGAAATGCCTCAGCGGCCCCTTTTCTCTGCGCTTTTCAGTCGGACCCTAAAAGCAAATCTGGGGGTTTCATGTGGCTCAGAAGATCAAAGCAGATGCACCTCCTGCCTTCAAATGAGGCGCGGTATGTGAGCGTCCACAGGGCGCGAAGCGACCACGACGCCACGCGGCGCGGAAGTGGGCCCCCAAACCCCTAAACCCTAAACCCGACACCCTACACCCTAAACCCTAAACCCTAAACCCTAAACCCTAAACCCTAAACCCTAAACCCTAAACCCTAAACCCTAAACCGAAGAGGGTTTGGGCTGAGGATTTGTCAGGAACGTGATAGGGGGATAATCGGGTCGGCGACTCGGAGATGTGCATTGTGCAATGTGTCCTAGATCCTTGGGCAGCAAGTCCCCCTAAACCCTAAGCCCTAAGCCCTAAACCCTAAACCCTAAACCCTAAACCCTAAACCCTAAACCCTAAACCCCTTGAACTGTCATCTTGACTCCACGCGACCCAGCCGCCGGGGCCTGGGGGCAGCTTGGAGCAGCCATCTGAGCTTGGCCGTCACATGGGGCTTCCGAAAGTAGGGGTACCTTCTTGGGGCCCTGATTAAACGGGAATCCTGCGACTTGGGGTTTTGAGACTAGCCTCCTATTTTCTTACCCCCCAACCTAGTTCTTGGCTCCAGTATCCTCGGCTAATGGGCGGCTCGGTCGAGCATGGCAGCACAGAGAGGCGAGTTTCAGTTGGCAGAGGCCTCAAAGGTCTCCTCTCCTGCTTGCGCAGCCATTCACGGCGCGCCAACTGAGAGCTCGAGATGGCTTGAAGATAACTACTACTTGCTTAAGAACACCAAATAATATAGCAATAATCTCTATATTACGCTTAATCAGGAAGAACATTTATATTTTTCGGGGTTCTTAAGCAATTGGTAGATAAGGTCTATAGTCCATAGCGGGCCCATGGGAGTGTTCAAGGGCCGCGGGGTGCATGTGTCGAAGGTCCGTGCGGGGTCGTGCAGGGAGGTTCATGGCACAAGGAACATGAAAGACAGTGGTTAAATTGCATGCGTGACTGCTGCTCAATCAGTGGAATTAGCCAATTCCAGCCGTTTAGTAGTCTTCACTCGCAAAGGCAGCTGGAATGCAACATGAATCCTGAAAGGCCTCCCCTACACGTAGACTTCGTGTTTTGTTCTGTTCCGTGCCCAGGTTCACCCGCACTTCATCGAGGTAGAAGTCCGGCGCCAGTCCTTGCCACAGCCGAAGGAGCTCCCGCTGCTCGGGACTGTTGATGTTGAAATCTGAAGGATGCATCGTGCAAGGCATGCAAGGCATGCAAGGCTGAGAGGACTTGTGCCACTAATATACCACCTTTTAAGAAGTTGGAAAAGACTCTGACACGGGCGGAAGCACCCTCAGGTCTCGCTTCGTCACGGAGTCAGGGGTCACGTCCCTTGGAGGGAAGGCTGCGCCTTGGCCAAGACAGCGACCTGCAAAGCGAAGCCTGTTGAACCATTTGCATCATTTGCCGCATCTTTGCACATTTTTGGGCGCTTTGGCCGCCCGGCTTTGGGCAGGAGGGGACGGGGGGGGGGGGGGGGCTCAGGCCTGCCATACGGCCTACGGATTCTTGGAGACGAATGCCAGCGTAGAGGATGCAAGCGACATGGAAATCGACGAAGAACGAGAGGATGCCGAGGTGGAAGAGGCCGAGGAGCAAGAGGATCAGCAAGAGCAGCAGAATGAGCAGGACGATCAGGAGGATGAGGAGGAAGAGGAGACAGAGGAGGGAGAACAGGATGAAGGGGAGGAACAGCTGTTTGAACAACGGGTTCTCCTCTCAAGGCGGTCTCAGGTGGAAGGCGGCCAGAACGCAACCGCGCTCAACCAGATTGAAGGTCAAGAGGAGGACGAGGAGGAAGACGAGGAGGAAGACGAGGAGGACGAGGAGGACGAGGAAGACGACGAGGAGGAAGACGAGCAGGAAGAGGAGGAAGAGGAGGAACAGCACTTCGAAAACCGAGTTTTCCTCGCAAAGGCGTCTCAAGGAGAAGGCGGCCAGAATGCAACCGCACTCAACCAGATTGGCAGCCAAGAGGGGGAAGAGGAGGACGAGGACGAACAAGACAAGGAGGACGAGGAGGAGGAAGACGAGGAGGAAGACGAGGAGGAGGAACTGGAGGAACAGCACTTCGAAACACGAGTTCTCCCCTCAAACCAGAACGCAACTGCTCTCAACCAGATTGGCAGTCAAGAGGAGGAAGTCGAGGAGGACGAGGAGGAGGACGAGGACGAGGAAGAGGAAGACGAGGAGGAGGAACAGGATGAACAGCACTTCGACAAACAAGTTCTCCTCTCGAACGGGTCTCAAGGAGAAGGCGGCCTGAACGCAACCGCGCTCAACCAGATGGGCAGTCAAGAGGAAGAAGACGAGGAGGACGAGGAGGAGGAGGACGAAGGGGACGAGGAGGACGAAGAGGAGGAAGAGGAGGAACAGGAGGAACAGCAGCAACAGCCCTTCGCCCTCCGGGCTCTCCGCTCAAGGAGTCCTCAAGAGGAAGCTGCCGAGAACGGTACCGCGCTCGCCTTGCTTGGCAGCCAAGAGATGGAGGCTGAGGAGAGCAGCGAAGAGATCAGCGACGAGGGCAGCCTGGAGAGCGAGCGACGCAGGCACCATGTTCTCCCTCCCCTCCCCCTCTCCCTCCACTCTGCTCTCTCGCCCCTAACCCTAAACCCTTGTTCTGCGTCAGGAGGAGAAGGAGGAGGAGGAAGAAGAAGGGGAAGAAGAAGAAGAAGTCCAAGAAGGTGAAGAAGACGAAGAAGAAGAAGAAAGCGGTGAAGAAGAAGAAGGCGGTCTCGCCACGGAGGAGGCGAAGCTCAGTGAGGAGGAAGGTGAAGAAGAAGAAGTCGAAGAAGGTGAAGAAGAAGAAGTCGAAGAAGGTGAAGAAGGCGAAAAAGAAGAAGTCGAAGAAGGTGAAGAAGAAGAAGGCCAAGAAGGTGAAGAAGGCGAAAAAGAAGAAGGCAAAAAAGTCGAAGAAGGTGAAGAAGAAGAGGAGGTTTGTCAAACTCAAAAAAGTGATCAAGAAAGTGGTGGTCACGCGCAGGAGGCGAAGCAGGAGGAGGTGGCTGTGCCATTGTGCTGTGTTTCTGGCCCTTGACCATCCCCGACCCGCACAGGCGCACGACCACCACAAGCACCTCGACGACGACCACCTCGACGACGACCACCACCACCACCTGCCACTACGGAGTCGGGGGGCGAGGCTTCTTCGTCGACTTCTCTAAACAGGGCACGTTGAAGGGCGGCAGCAGCTGGGCGCGCAAAGTGGCACTCAAAGTCTTAGACCGAGGTTCGGCTCGCATCGTGCTTAGGGCAGCAACCGCAGCAACCGCAGCAACCCACCACCCCCAACACTTCGTCAGTAACACCGCATCACGAGATATGGCACACGATGTATGGCACATATGTGCATGCGATGGCCCGCCTTGCTTGGGGCCTTGGTGGGGCTCTTAAGGCATTTGGTTCAGCAAGGGCGCCCAGAAGATCCGATGCACCCTGTACTGCGACAACCTTCTCGTGCTTGACGTGCCTGGGGGGCAATTCAGAGGTGCTTTGACCTTGCTGCGAAGCACACATGTGCTCACATGTGCTCCCACGTACTCGCTCAGCATCACTGAAGATCCCTGCACATCCCAACCGGCCTTGTCCAGGCAGCCTGATGCTCGCATGGTGCATTATTGAGCGGCAAGAGCCAAGGAGAGCTTCGCAAGCACGCGACGGCGCAAAGGGAAAACCGCCCCCCGGCCAGGACGGCTTTAGATTCTGGATGCCGGGCCATGGCGGGCTGTTGCCCTTTGTTATGCCCATGTTGGGAGCTCCGCGCACGGCCGATCATCTCCCTGAGGTTGCGATCCCGACAATTTGCCAGGGAGCCCGGAACGCCTATCTCTGGGGCTCCGGCTCAGCAGGACTCCATCGCTTCAACGAGCGCTTCTTAAGCGATCTCGGGTTCCTAGGGGCCTAGCTGCACAATTCTTGGCCCAACATGTTCAATCGTTAAGACGCCTGCTTGCCAGGACACTGCGAGTTTGCGCACAAGCGCCTGGACGTGCGGCCCTGAGTTGAGCTTGGCATCTTGGTGTGGAAAAACGTCGCATTGCCTGAGTGGCCTGCGGGTACCTGGCGAGGTCTACCAGCTTCCTGAGACGGTCACGTTGGGCAATCGATGCTTCGATTCTAAGGGGGCCCAACAGTAGAAACAAATGAGTAAACATGCATACATCTGTATATACACGAACCTATGTTATATATGTTTTCTGTGCCTATTCATTTTCATACATATTAAATCTCATATATATATACACACATATATGTGTATGAAAGATGTAGATAAATCAATATGTGTATGCACGTATACCCTTTGCATGTCTTGTCCTTGTTATCTACAGCAAGTTGTCTCATGCATGTATTGTATTAAGAATTGTTTAATGAGTGTGTATAATATATATATATATATACAGACATCGTGTGTATAAGGGTGTCGAACGCGGATCCAAGCGAGCTTATGGGTTTTTAGCCAAAAAAAACCGCGATGCGGCCAAGGAGAGCTGCCTGAAGTGAAGTCCAGCGCCTACGGCTGTGAGGCTCGGGCTCTGTTTTAGGCTTTAGGGTTTAGGGTATAGGGTTTAGGGTTTAGGCTTAGGGTTTAGGGTTTAGGGTTTAGGGTTTAGGGATGGGGCGCGTGCTGAGAGCTGCCGAGAGGCTCGCTACAGACCGAAGGGCTGGACCACGATGAACGTCGATGAGCCACTGGGCGAAGAAAGATGCTTCAGATGTTTCAGATACATTGGGGCCCTTTTCTTTCCCATTGAGCTGACTGGGAACTCTTGGTGAATAAGGTACGGCACAGTCGCTCCAGGCAACAAGGCCTGACTTGCTGAACTCGCATCCAGCACTGCCCTCCAACCTCGTGTAAGGGGTTCCAAGCATTCGCCCCAGCTCCCGCATCCCGAAAGAGGTGGCCTACTCGCCCGCCAACTTCAAGTGGGCGAGCTGCCATGTGGCTCGGCGGCTATGCTGGGCGTTGCAGAATCCTAACCAGCTCCCAAACAAGGATGTGCTGTTGGAGTGCTGCACTAGAGAAAATTAAAAGCAAAAGGCATCTTGAAAACAGGTGGCTCAGTCGCATGCTAAGTCGGTCGTTTCCGGTGTTGAAGCGCGTTCCCCACAAGTTTTGCCTGGCACAGGTCTATTGCGATGGGCACTTGGCCACAAAGAACTCTTTCTATGGTCGGCGGCGACGCGCGCACCTCGATGGCAAGGGCATGAGTCGTGATTTTCGACGCTGCGGAGCACTTTTCTGCCTCATGGGCATAACATCGATGATAACATGAAGCAGCCGGCGTTCACAAAGTTTAAGATGACAGCGTGGGCGTTTGATTCGAAAGTTCGTTGCTTGGCGTAGGTCTCCACAGCGTTTTTTTCCAACGTCACACGGGGCCCGCACTTTGTGCTCAGCTCCTTCCGAAGGATTGGGTCTCTTTCTTTTTTTTTTAACCCTAAACCCTAAACCCTAAACCCTAAACCCTAAACCCTAAACCCTAAACCCCAAACGGCCCTGTGTCCAGATGCCTGCGCAAACTTGGGCCGAAAAGAGCGGAGAATTCGAAGCCCTCTTCGGAAGCCCACCTTGGTAGCTCAGTGGTACCCTTTACCCTTTTGTTAGGGTTTAGGGTTTAGGGTTTAGGGTTTAGGGTTTAGGGTTTAGGGTTTAGGGTTTAGGGTTTAGGGTTTAGGGTTTAGGGTTTAGGGTTTAGGGTTTAGGGTTTTATGGTTTCCCTTATATAATAGCCAACCCCAAAAAACGGGGTGCCCTTATCATAATGGTTACTGGGCTTCCTTGGCACAAGAAGCTGCCCCGAGCCGGCTTTAGGGGTTCAGGGCCACCCTGGAGCTACCTGATGGGGAAGCCATCCTGCTGTTTGCTGCCTTGTCTCGATGTGCCTATATAGTCCCTATATACCTAAGTAGCCCTAAAGAATCCACAAATGGTTTTCTTAAATCAGGGCGGGTGTCTCCGAAAACGCTCCAGAGAGTTCTGCGGGGCTTGACTCGGTGGGATTCTTTGCGGTCTGCTCTGAGGGCTTTTCTGTTACGAATGGCAGTCCAGGGATACCCAAAGCGCGACCCTCTGCGGGTCCCCGGATGGAGTATGGCTGACTTATGGCTGACTTGAGGAATCTAACAACCCCACACCGGGAATTTCGGGGAAAAGAGAGGAGGGTCCCGCAATGAGCCTTGGAAGAGGCGAGGGCCTGCCTTTGTCAGCTCAGTTGCCCCAAACCCTAAACCCTAAACCCTAAACCCTAAACCCTAAACCCATTTTTCCAAGGGGCACTGGAACCTTCGACCTGCCCAACTCCTGCATCGGCGCCACTTCAGTGGAGCCGCGGCGGCACTCGTTGGAATGTTTAGGGCTTCTAGGGTATATGGGCTTATATGGGTGGTTGTCAAAATTATGGTCCCTTCTTGGATCCCTATTTTAATACGGCACCTAATATTTAGGGTGCCCCAAAAGGGATCATAATTTTAACGCTACGCGACCCGCCTCGGCCCGGCCCAGCGCATCCGCGTGAGCATGGTGATTCCGCAGCGCCCAAGTCGCTGGACCCCAAGCAATAAGGGTTGGGTTGAGGGTTGAGGGTTCCGGGTTTATGGTTTATGGTTTGGGGTTTGGGGTTGAGGGTTAGTTTAGGGCTCAAGGTTCACGCTTTGGGGTTGAGGGTTTTTTTGGGTTTAGGGTTCGGCTTGGAGTGATCGTAGGGTTGAGCCAGGCCCAGGCGACTCTTTGGCAGGGTGGGGGGAGGGGGGAGGGGTGGTGGGGGTGGGGAAGGGGGGGGGGGGGGGGGGGGGTGGGGGGGGGGGGGGGGGGGAGGGGCTTCAACTGCCTCTGGTCCTGGCGAACCGTCCGTCCGGCCCTCAAGCCAGCGCGTCGGAGCAGGAAAACTCCGCCTTTCACAAACACCTTATGTGAGCAAGCGCCAAGACCCCCAGCCATTCAATTAAGCAAGGGGTGGACACGAATGCCCAAAACCCTGTAAAACGATGAAAACACTTGAAAAGCGACACCCCTAGGTTATGAAACATTGGGTGTGCTATAGCGACACCTACAAACATCAAGCCCTCTTGTTGCGTCCATTAGCACCTCGAGCCCAGCCGCTCATGTGGCTTCTGGGGGAGGGACAAAGGGGTGGGGGGGGGGGGTGGGGTGGGGGGGGGGGGGGTGGGTGGGGGGGGGTGGGGGGGGGGGTAGGGGGGGGGGGGTAGGGGGGGTAGGGGGTGGGGGTAAAACGTGGGGGGCCCTGCTGGGAAGGGCTGCAACTGCCTCTGGTCCTGGCGAACCATCCGCTTGCGGACCCTGCTCACCTAGGGGGGGTACCCATTTGAGGCAAAAAAAGGGGTCCGGGACTTTGGGCTTGGGGGGAGGATTTGGAGGGGGGTGCCTGTTCTGACTACCTATACACCTTCGGCCCGAGGCCTCGGCGGATTTTGACAACCACCCATATAGGGCTGTAGGGTTTAGGGCGATTCCGAGAGAGTTCAAAACACCTTCACCTTGGCAGTTTTTGCTTGCAGGCTCACTCGCTGAGCCTGCACTTCCAGACCTATCCCATGTGGGTATTTCCCACAAAGACGATCATCCTTACTTTAGTAACCCCCAAAAAGGGTACCCTCTATATTCAGAAACCTCTTATGTAAGCCCCAGAGTCCCTCGACACCCCAGCCGAGGCCCTCCACGGCGGCGGCAAGTGCGCAGGCTTCTCGGGGTCTTGGCATGGGCCAAAGAAGCGCCCAATCGTCCGAACTTCCTCTCATGACCCTCTCCGCCCGACGATGTAGGCTTCCTGTAGAGCCTGTAAGGGGGCCCTTAAATTAATGTTGGGGCCCCCCCAAGAAGAAGCAAAAAAAGACGAAGAGCCCACAGGCTGCCACTTCGAGGATTACAAGCTGAAGGTGAACAAGCACCCAGGCGACCCACCCAAGGCGCGCGACTCTACTGACTCTACCTGTGTAGATGTGCATCCAGAGGACCTGGTTCCTGCTTACTGAAGGTATGTTTGATGTAAGAGTGTGTGTGACCTGCATCTTGGGCGAAGACCACCGTTCCCGCCAAGAAGATTGTGTCCTGGTTCAAAAGCGAAGATGCAGGACCAAGGGGTCTGGGGCACCAGCTGAACCAGAAGCATGTCATGCCTATCAAACCCCCTTGAACCTAGGGTTTAAGGTTTAGGGCTTAGGGTTTAGGGGCCATAGCTGTTCAACCATTCAAGCCCTATAAGCCCACCCCAACTCCAGCCCCCTGATGTCGAAATCCCCTGTCCGATGCTGAGATAGCGGTGTGTGTGTGGGGGGAGATCATCCTCTGGGAGCACTGTGCCGCACTACTGCTGTTGCTATTACGCCACGCGGTATGCACGGGCAACAAGGCAAGGATGGGCAAGAGGCAGTTCCATCAACAACCTTCGGAAGAGATTTTTCAACAAGCCGCGCGGAAGTCCCGCAGTATCCCGCAGTCTAGCAGCCGCCACTCGACTCGACGAGTCCGAAAAGACGGACTCTGCGTGCACCCGACACCCTGTTAGCCCCAGTGACCCTTGACAGATCCGTTTTGAGGCAGTGAGGAGGTACGCAAGCTGGTATGCGCATGCACTTCGGGCGTCAAGCCAACTAGTTGCATTTCCCCCCTCCCCCCCCCATCCCATCTCGGAATACAGCTCGCATGGGCGCACGCTCAACCAGACTCGAAGCACACTTCTCGTGCTGATGATTTGCTTTGCAGGACCCACGTGGAAAAGCAGCAGCTCAGCAGAGACAAGCCGACATGCGCGGTCGCTTTCCCCGCGCAGGTTGATTGGGGTCTGCTTCTGGCTGAAGTTCTTGTAGGCCGAGGGCAGCTCTCTCAAACTTGGAGCCGAGGCGTGGGCAGCTTGACTGCCTCGTCAAGTCGACGGTCCGGGGCAGCTCGGAATTGCCTTTAAATGCCCTTTTTTGTGCGGACGATTCTCTCTATGTGTTGACAGCGCGGCTCGGCTGCCGACCTAATTCTCGATTGTATGCCCAATTGAAGGACTTTCAGCCTAAACCCTAAACCCTAGACCCTAAACCCCTCTGCTTCGGAGTCGCCTGGGGATGCCCTTGCGGACGCTCCCAGGTGCGCGCGTACACGGCGCGAGGCTATGGGGCGAAAGCCCCCGTGAAGTACCTCCAAGGCGACCCAACCTGCGGAGAGACCCCCGGTTTTAGGGTTTAGGGTCCAGGGTTTAGGGCGCCCAAAGGCCACAGAAGCAATGGTAGTGGTGCTTAGGGGTTTGCGAAAACAAGGGGCCCCTCATAAATATAGACCCCAAGTAATTAGTAGATTAGGACCCCAAGAAGGTGGCCCTAATTTCGGAAATCCTCACTTCTTGCTTCTGTGGGCTCTGACATTTTGGGGCTCTGGTTTGGGGTTCTGCGGGGGTTCTGGGGTTGTGGGGTTTGGGGCCTCTGAAATTTGGGGGTTCTTGGGTTCCGGGGATTGGGGTTCTGGGCGGGTTCTGGGGTTTTGGGGTTCTGGCTTAGGGATTTATTAGGGTTTAGGGATTTTTTAGGGTTTACTGGGGGGGGGGGTTCAGGGTTCCGGACTCGATCCACGGGCAAGGAGGCTAGCGATGCGGGCCTCTATGACTTTTGTACAGCGTCAGTCCGAGACAACGCCTCAACGAAATTAAGCACCAAATTTTCGAGCCGACATCAGGAAACGAATTCTCCAAAACGAATTAACAATGAATTCATATCTCACAAGTCAGGTCGGAATGACAAGTTCATCAGGGTTCAGGGTTTAGGGTTTAGGGTTTCGAGTTTCGGGTTTGGGGTTTGGGCTTTGGTTTGCGGTTTGGGGTTTGGAGCTTGGGGTTTGTAATTGGGTGTACCAAGACACCGCCAGCTTTTGTGAAGTTTCGGTCGAGTCGAAGCTTCTGCCGCAGCAACATGACCTCCCCCGAATATTCAACCCCCCCCCCTACCCCCCGAATATTATCTGCTCCCCTTCCCGCTCTATCATCGTTATAGTTATCGTTATCGTTATCGTTATCGTTATAGCTATAGTTATAGTTTTTTCGTTATAGTTATAGTTATAGTTATAGTTATATGATAGTTGTAGTCATAGTTATAGTTATAGTTGTAGCTATGGCATCCTGAATTCGCATGCCATCAGACCACTCGAGAGACAGGGTCCAACAACGATGCGTTCACATTCACGGGCGCGCTGCAGGGCCACTACACTGCGCCTTGGATCTGGGAGAGGAAACTTTGCTCAACTTCACAACCGGATTTGTCTTAACAGTCTGAGTTGTTGCTGTTCAGGCGCCTCTATAGCGGAATCCACTTCAAGAGCAGAAGCAAATGTGTTCCACTCGGTTCGACCACCGGGTCATCCTCTTGCTTCCCTCACGAGGTCTGCGCCGTCACGCGCTACACCTCGGTGTCTTGGTAGCCCAGTGGCACCCCTTTCCTTTCTTTGGTTCAAGGTCCCCTTATCAAGAAACCCTAAACCCGAAACCCTAAACCCTAAACCCTAAACCCTCGACCCAAAAACCCTAAACCCTCGACCCAAAAACCCTAAACCCTCAACCCGAAACCCTACACCAACCCCCCAAAAAAGGGGGTGCCCTTCTTACAAGGGCTACCAAGGTGTGGGCTGCGAAGCGCATCCTACAAGGCCACGGGCCAAGGGGGGGGTTTAGGGTTTAGGGTTTAGGGTTTAGGGTTTAGGGTTTAGGGTTTAGGGTTTAGGGTTTAGGGTTTAGGGTTTAGGGTTTAGGGTTTAGGGTTTAGGGTTTAGGGTTTAGGGTTTAGGGAAGGGGGGGGGGGGGGGTAGGGACCTGGATGCCTTTCTACGGCACAAAGAGCCATGGAGACGGAGGGAAAGAGCCTCCCCGCGCAAGGCAGCAAGCAAAACATCATCTTCGGGCACCATGAAAAGCATGGCGTCGGCGTGGTCTACTTTGACGGCGCTGTCCTTATGTGTGTGTGCGTGCTACCTTACAGTGCAAATGCAGCTTTCCTGTTTCGATCCTTGCATGGCTCACGCACGCATGGTCCGCTTCACTTCTCACCTGGCTGAGGCTTTCAAACCGCCACAGGCAAGCGCTTGAAAAGCACGAGGCGGCTGATACCAGCATCGGCTTCAAAGACAAAAAAAGCACTTCCAAAAGGTTTAGGGTTTAGGGTTTAGGGTTTAGGGTTTAGGGTTTAGGATCATCTGGCCAACTCGGTAAGTGCTGCGGCTGTAGGTGGACCACCGTTTGCGCCTCGCCGGGGGCCGACTATGTGTTCCTGGACGGCCCCTCGCCTTGAGAGGAGATCTTGGTGCGGAGCGAGGGCTCAGAGTTTACCATATCCCCCTTTTGGGAATTCTTTTTTTGTTTATATAAAAACCCAAGAGGATATTAAGCATATTTTTTAAGGGGAGTATAGTTTATAGCAAGTGCGACGCCTGTTGCAAAGGGTTTTTAGGGCTTGTGGGGTTTAGGGATCAGTGCGACCGCACTGAGAGGCCAAGACGTCGGCACAGGGAAGACGGATAGCCCCTTGGCTCACACCCTCAGTCACACTCACGAAGCAGGTTCCTGTTTTTGGCGAGTGTGTATCGTCTTGGGCTCCTTTTAAAGATTCGTGAGTGTATGTATGTATGTATGCATGCATGTATGCATGTATGTACGTTTATGTGTTGGGTGTCTTTTTTGGGTTATTCATAGCAAAAGCCCCTACTTCCATGTGCCTGTATAGCTTGAGAGTATTCAGAAGCTCTTGCCGGATGTTGGGGATGGAAGTTTGAGTTCGTGCACTCCTGTCTCAGCGCGGTCCAACAATCCCCTTGAGTTAACCCCCCCCCTCCAGCCTAAGGCAACAGTAGGGCTCCTTTCCCCGTGGCTCGCTGAGGCTTCGAGGACCAGGACCTCGTGATCAATAGCGGGGCGACGCCAGCCGAGAAGTCCAACTGGGCTGCCCCCTGCCGTTTATCGAGTGCCAGCCTTCCAGGGCATCTTCTTCAAGGTTCTGCTTTTTCGTTGGGCAGGATGTAAGGGACCGTCGGGTGGATCGGAGATGGTGGGAGTTCTGGTAGTTTTCCTGGATCTGAAAACACTACCCCAGCGGAAGCATCCTCAAGCACTGGCAACTTCCCGAGCGTTCGCGAGTGTCGCGGTGCTGCCCCACTCTCTCTCTCTCTCTCTCTGTCCTTGTCTCTCCTTCTCGCGCTCTATTCACTACTTCTCTCCTTCTACACGCCATGCATCCCGATTTGCCCCGATGTGCGCCTGTGTGCGGCAATATTGCTTCTGGTTCCACCCTAAACCCTAAACCCCGTGGAAGGGCGTACTTGAGCAGAGATGCCCCCAACGTGCGCGTGTGCATTGGAGACTGAGAAGTGTCCTGCCTCTTTTGGTTTAGGGTTTAGGGTTTAGGGTTTAGGGTTAGGGTTTAGGGTTTAGGGTTTAGGGTTTAGGGTTTAGGGTTTAGGGTTTAGGGTTTAGGGTTTAGGGTTTAGGGTTTAAGGTTTAGGGTTTAGGGTTTAGGGTTTAGGGTTTAGGGTTTAGGGTTTAGGGTTTAGGGTTCCTGAGTCCCAGGTTATGGAAGTGATCACGTGGAACTACATCCTTTCCAAGCAGCCTGGCGAGCAGCGTATTGCAAATGCATGAAGATGAAAAAACTTGCTCAGAATCACAGGGTCCGCTCTTGAACAAGAGACAGAATTCAGAGTCCCGGTAGTAAACATATGCGTATTTTCATTCCAAAGGCACCATTCTAGCTGATGTACTTTAAGGGGTCCGCTGGGGCATGATCTCAATTGTTCACTTTTGGACACTTGCTGATGTCTCAGCCAACGAGCAGCCAATGAACATGGTACAAAATATTACCCCATCCTTTCACACCCGTTAAGAATCGAATCAACAGATTCGGAAAGACAACCAGAAGACTATTCACGAAGATATTACACCGGTGTTGAACACCAGTTTAATATCTTCATGAAGTGGAAAGAAGCATGGCAACTACGGGAATTTGCGAACAGTTCGCAAAATTCCCGTGGTTGCCATGCTTCTTTTCACTTTCCCAGCGAAGAAGGAGTGAGAAGGGAACCGCCTCAACGAAGGAACCAATGAAGGCATGTGGTGCCCATGGCCATCATGGCTACAGTGCACTCGTTGCACCGGCTGGCACCACTGATCGTGTACCCGCAACAGGGCGTTTGCGCCAAGCCAAGGAGAGAGATGGAAGATGCCTCGACGCAGCTTGGCTCAACTTCGCAACTGCTTGCTGTCGAGAGTTGCTCTTGAGAGTTTGGTGGTGCTCGCAAGCAGAGGTACCTGATGAAGAAGCTCATGGTCGGCGGCGAGAAAGAAACCTGCGACTTGGGGACAATGAGCTATGAGATCATGACACGGAAAGACAAGCCAACTGAGAGGGGCCACATCGGCAAGCAGGCTGAGTAGGCTGAGCGGCGACGGTGATTTATGTCTGAGGCAAGATCGCTCTGAAGAATCCCAAGCACCACGAGGGGCGCAGTTTTAGCTCCTATCGGAAGCTGCCCGGGGCGCATATCTTCGGAATGCAAGGCGCAGGGGGACGCATAGTCGCAGAGGGCACCATTCTCAACTCATTGTCGGTGACGTTGCTACCCATGTTATCCCCTCACTTGCCATTCACCTAGAGATGAGCCCCACTGATCGTAAGCCCTATAGTATCCTGTGGCCTGAAAGTTGCAGCTGTGTTCTTGGGACTTGCGGGGGGGGGGCGCGGGGGCGTGTTTTCCTTGTGCTGAGACAGGCTGGTTCGACTCGCAGTTGGACTCCTCAAGCGGCTGGTGCGCGGATAAGCCGCTTGCCTTTTGAATCCTAGTCCACGTCCCAGTGACTAGACATGACTGCGAAAGAGCGCGAGTACTCTAAACCCCAAATAACAAGAGTGAAAGATGGAGAGAGGCAAGGATTGAGAGATGTCAATAATGTGTTGTTCATGTGGATATATCCATACATGGCCACCCCCTCCAACACATCAGACGGTGCGTATTGAAGGATACGAAAGGGATGCGGGACGTTCGAACGACCTGCAATCTGAAGCCACAGAAGCTCATTGCCTGGAACATGCCACAGATCCCGGTGCAACCGTGGGTTCCGGGCCATGTCAGGTGTGAACAGACAAGGGAGTGTACGAAAATGAGGGGCCCCAAGGGCCCGAACAAGGTATCCCCTAATTTCGGAACCCTCAAAATCTTGACAGACGGAGAAGGCCGGAAGAGTAGGGAATCAGTGAAGTGCCACGGTCGCCAACCCTACCGGCCCATCCAAGGCAAGACAGGAACGAGTGGCTTGAAATCGACCTGAAGGCCGGGGCGCTCTGTGGGTTTGGGGTTTTAGGGTTTAGGGTTTAGGGTGGGGGCTCGGGCAAAGGCGCGTTGGAACTTCTGCCACGCACTTTTCGGTCTTCCGGCTTGTCAGGAAGATTGCACATGATGTCCCGAGGGCTGTGCTTGCTACATGTTCTTTTGTGCTTAAGAATTGCTTGGAGCCGGAGCCCTCTCTTAGGAGAAGGAGAATGTGATGGGCGTGGTCATCCAGGGCCTGAAAGGCAAAGAGAAGTACGCCCCTTGTCCCGCTTTTGGCAGGGGAAGTGTGTGGTTGGTTTAGGGTTTAGGGTTTAGGGTTAGGGTTTAGGGTTTAGGGTTTAGGGTTTAGGGTTTAGGGTTTAGGGTTTAGGGTTTAGGGTTTAGGGTTTAGGGTTTAGGGTTTAGGGTGAATCTAAATTCTTCTGCCTCTCGAAACAGTGCGGCTTCCTCTTGAGGATCAGCACCTCTCCCTTGCAACTCCCACGGCTCGCAGCGTGGGCACTGTCCGAAGCAAGTCCCGAAGTCCTCACCTCCCCCCCCTATAATTACTTTATAAGGCTATAATTTACTTTATAAGGCCGGAAAAGGAGGCAAGAACTCCTCAAGATGGCCGGATTACGCTCTCTTGCGACTTTGAGGTCTACTCCTTCGAGGTGGCGTACAAGGTGACCGCGAAAGGCGCAGAAAGCAACATGGCAGAGCCGAGTCTCACGGAAAGATGCGTGTTAGACATAGTTCCTCTCGGGCACTCAGGGGCCTCAACGCCAGACCTGAGCTCGCTGCTTGCGCAGGAGACTGGATACGCATCAACAACCTCTTCACGGGGTTGAACGGGGATCCGGATGAGCATGTCGCTCGCCAGCAAGGGGCTGGCGATCATTCTAAGCATCCTGAATTCTAAGCGCCCCCCTCCGGCGTGTTAAGTTCCGCTCTTGAAGCCAGAGGCCCAGGTTGCAACAGCAAGTGCAAGCCGGAAGCGTTCTTAAGGCTTAAACTGGCTCTGGGCCACGAACCGTCTGCAGAACATGCCAGGCCTCAGAATCGCTCTCACTACCGTCAGCGTTGAATTATCCCCAAGCCCCGGTTTCGAGGGCACCTTGAAGACAAAAACAAACCTGTCCGCGTGCGTCTGTACTTGTCCTGCATCATGTTAACTCTCTTTTTGTTTGGCCTAATCTTGTTGGAATTGTGTATCTTCTCCTTTGATTACTCTCATTGTTTCCAGTCCCAGATGTTTTGCAGTTCTAATGAACTCATTGTGTATTCTTCATAGGGCCCAACGCACCGAGTCGCCGAGGTGCGAGCTTACTTTTCGGACCCCGTGGAAGCCCGCTACATCCGCTGCTCGTTGCGTTAGGGTATATGGGGTAATTAGGGTAATCAGGGCAATTAGTATAAGGGATTTTTTTTACGTCAGCCATGCGCCACCAAATTAGGGAAATTAGGGTTCAGGGTTTAGGGTTTAGGGTTTAGGGTTCATTGCGACTTCTGACGGCTTTGGCGTTGCTTTGCCTTTGTAGAGATACGACATGAGAAATCGGCTGCCTCATCGAGCTTTGGAATAGCGCGTGGTTCCCCCCCTCCCCTAATAACCCATCTATACCCCCCTTAAGTGCCCTAACATGGTTATAAGTACAGTCATAAGTACAGTTCTACTTGGTTGAGTACTACCAGTGCCCGAACGATGGTTTGTGAACTGGGGCGCGACCTACACTGTAGGGCTGATGACGAGCCGCATGGGCCGCTGCTAACACACCAGCGCAGGGGGGGCAAGTGTGTAGCAGTGTAATTCATTCGGATCAAGCTTTCAGGCTTGGACAGCTTCACGAAAGATGAAATCTATAGACTACCATAGACTTGTGGGCTTGCGTGACATGAGCGGTCATGGTTTGTCGCTTTTTGGGTTTCTCTTGCAGTGCCTGAGGCTCGAGAGGGCCCTTTTGGTAGCACCTGGCTATAGAGGGGAGGCTGCGCGAACGGTAGACCTAAGGGGAATCAGTGCATGGACATTCACCTAAAGGCCTTTCCACCATCCCTATTTTCAGCAAACAATGCTTTCTTTGATAGGCTTAGCTGCTCTATCTGGGCCGTTGACAGGACGACTGTCTCTTTGACTACAACATCTACACAAGTTGTATATTAGGACAGGCAGCTCTTCATCATCGAGCCCCGGCAATTATTCGCAAGTCGTACATATCAGTTTCCTTATCCGAAGCACCAAGTAGCAGCTTGGGCGGTGTCATTCATTAGGATCTCATCATTAAAGCCTCAGGGCTGGGGGGATTCTCGGAACTTGCTGTGCTCCTTTTCGGTCTCAAGGCTTGTCCAAGTTTGACTGGCACCACGAGCTTTGCCTGCGAGCCGCAGTGATGGTTTGTCAGGGCAAGCTGGACCGCTCAGGGCTCTTAGAGGGTCTTGGGGCATGCTTGAATTTAATGGGCTGGGGAAAGTGTATATACGGATATATGTATATATATATATAGATAGATATACACATACTTATCTGTTATTCATTGCTTATTTGCTTGTTTATGTATTCAGATTTATACTTCGTTGTGAAGGTTGCGTCACAAGTTTGGGCAAGGATGCAATCGCAAGGGGAATATCGGCTGTTTTGGCTTCCTGAAGTGTGTTTCATGGCTCTGGAGCAGAAGTTTAGGGTTTAAGGTTTCGGGTTTAGGGTTTAGGGTTGAATTCATTGTTCTTCACATGCTCTTTGCTGGCTCTGCGACCAATTCGTCCCGCAGAAGGCAGCATGCTAAATGAGTGATGCCTGCAATTGCGCCTGGTGCAAGGATTGCCTCTTGAACCGGAGTATAACACATGCATGCAAGGCCGTGGGTTGAAGAGACACGCTCTCAAGCGCGCCATTAGGTGCACATTGTAAGATAGTTGGAAGGACGACCCCTATCGAGACAGACGTCTGGAGTCAAGCCATGTCCCTAACAGTAAAAAATCTTGGGCATTTGCCCAAACTTCACCACTTCACAGAAAGCTTGCGCAGGAGAACGCGGTGACACTCCTGCAGGCCAAGACCTGCCCCACCACATACAGCAGTGAGACCTGGAGCGAGTCGGACTACTCGAGCAGGCGCGCCCAGGGTCCGCAGCGGGGATTTTTGGGGTTCCACTGGGATGAGCTGACAAAAGTCCCCAAGTTGGGACAGCTAGAGACCACTGGACTACAGTGAGTATTTGAATCACAGAACCCAATGCTTGCAGAATGGCACTAGTTCGTGTGTTGATGGAGAGCATGAAGATTATGGTGTAAAGTTGGGTTCTGAGTATTTGGCGTCGGTTGCAGCACTGCCGGAAGCTTCCAGAACACAGCTGATCCTGAACCGTGCGACTTGGGATTCTCCCCCTTATACTAACAGTCCTTCAGAGGGATTCTCGTACCCCCCTATTATAAATCCCCCATTAATGGCTGTGAGTATTAGGGGGGAACATCCCGAGAGCGGCGACCTGTAGGTTGTGTCGGAGTTGGGCTCCTAAGTTGAGCTGTGAAAAGAGCCTCTCGGAGTGTTTTCTTGTGCAGCGCCTGTCCACTGAGCCCGCCATCAGCAATAAATGATGCCGTCGCCGGGGTTACTTTATCTTGCTTCGTGCTTGTGTGACAGCTTCTGACAGAGCTCTTGAATTGCCAACTCTAGTGAAAACTGTAGGCCCCAGAGAGCGGCCACTTTTCAAGTAAAACAAGCGTCTAGGGCCCCAAGACTTCACGCAGGGGTTGAGGGAGCGGGGAGCAGGAGCACTTGCACTCCTAAGCCCTAAACACTAAACCCTAAACCCTAAACCCTAAACCCCTAAACCCCTAAACCCCTAAACCCCTAAACCCCTAAACCCCTAAACCCCTAAACCCCTAAACCCCTAAACCCTAAGCCGTTTTAAGCGCCCATGGAAGGCATCTCCGGATCGGCGGCACGAAGGAGTGTGTCGCCGTGGAGCCCCTGGGAGCTGCTCGGCGGAAAGTGGAAGGGACAGAACACTGGCAGGGTTTAGGGTTTAGGGTTTAGGGACCCTAAACCCGACACCCCGTGTTAGAAAGCGCTCTGGTCCACATCCAACTTTCGGCGCCCATGGCTCTTTCAAATCAACGGATGATGTCCGGACGCTGGCACCAAATACCGAGTCTGACCGATGGTGCTCAAACGACACTGCGTGGGGCACGGGCACCATGAGCCTTTCCTCCCCATGCAGAGAGACAGAGTTGTTTGCGTGGCTCTTTTGAGAGTTGTAGCCGACCCTATCTGTGGCGCTGTCGCAAGCCCTTCTGATGATTCAGTACAACTCAAGAATCCCCAATGCGGGATTTGTTGGCCCCTTAAATCCCCTAAGGCTGGAAAATGCCACCTAAGCCCCTGCCCAGTTACGGTGGGTTTGCGGTTTAGGGTTTAGGGTTTAGGGTTTAGGGCTAGGGTTTAGGGTTTCGGGTTTAGGGTTTAGGGCGGTGTTTTGGGTTTTGGGGCAGTTCCTTGCTGCCTCAGGATGAATTGGCCCTCGTCTACAAGCCCTGCATGGCGGATGACGTTCATCAGCTCATCCCCGCATCGGACATGGGATGCTTGGCTTCCCTTTTGGCTGTAGGGTTTAGGGTTCAGGGTTTGGGGTTCAGGGTTTGGGGTTTAGGGTTTAGGGTTTAGGGTTTAGGGTTTAGGGTTTAGGGTTTAGGGTTTAGGGTTTAGGGCTAGGACAGCCCTATCAGCTCGAGTTTGGACTGAAAGTTGAGCCGGCCCGGTTTCTCACATCTACTGCATGTCATCCCCATCAGAGCAGTCGTCGCCGCAGACATAGAGAGTATATCGCTACACATGTAAACGAGTCAAAAGGAAAACGATGTACCTGCGCACTGATTGCTGTGGAAGCACCTGCATCAAACACTACTGCAGATGTTTTTTTGCTCACAGATTCATTCGCATGTGTAAGAGTAGCTCGTGATGCCAACGAAAACACAATTGTCTGTATGATGGCTTGTCGGCTTTGTTCCCTTTGCACTTCTTACTCGTGACCAGGACCAACGAAATTCCTGTTCTCAAGAAATTGCTTCAGCTCAACCCGAAACCTAAACCTTAAACCCATGACCTCCTTAGGATACCTCTTCACCATGCTCCACCGCAACGCGTGGCTGCTGGACAACGTCCTCCAGCCGGGGATCAAGGCGGGGATGTTTTCCATGAATATCTGCCTAACGTTCATGATTCATCTTCAGAAGGTACAAGAAGGGCAAGAGCTTTGGGAGGTTTAGGGCTGGGAGCTTGTAAGCCAGACTGTGTGCATGGCAGGCAGAGTACTTCTATGACTTGGACCAGGACACCGACCGTTTTGCCTGGTCCATTCTCCGATTATGGCAACACACACACACTTGCCCTGAATCCTGAACCACCGTACGAATCCTAGAGCCCCGAAGCAGTCCACGTATCTCCACGTCAGCCATGACCATAACCCAGAAGGGTTTAGGGTCCAGTCAGAAAAGCAGATCTTGAGGCGTTGGGACTTTCGAGGTTCGTGCGTCATGATCACTGCCTTTGCTCTTAAGAGATGATTAGAGAGACGTTTGAAAAGCAGGGCTGGAGTTGCTCCTTCCCGAACATCATGTTCCGCATGCCGGACAAGGCAGTTGCAAGAGCTTTGAGTGGGGGGTGTGTTTGGGTTTTCTGGATTGGAGGCAGGGCTTCGGGTCTTAGATTTGTTTGTTTCTTGGGCGTGAGCTGGTCTCGTGGACAGCCGAATATCTGAAAGCGAGACCCCAGCATAGGATGGGTTTTGGCTTAGCACACCAAGAGACGTTTTCTTCCCTGCAGGTGGAAGTCAAGCCGAAGACGCTCAGATGCAGTGAGATACGGAGAAGACAAGCCCTTCGATTGAGCCCCCCAATCAGTTTGAGATTCCGACTGGGATGTTCCCCCTCATACTAACAGTCCTTAACCGGGATTTAAGGTTAAAGTAGGGGGGTACTGTCATCCCCATTAACCTGTTCGTTGTCGGGGGAACATCCCAAGATTCCGAGAATCAACCCTAAACCCTAAACCCTAAGCCCTCTTCTGATTCCGAAAAGAGATATTTCGACTTCCAAGCTTTGCTTGGCTGACGTTCTTCGGCGCTTGAGCCTCGCTTCTCCAGGGCAGGGCGCCCTGCATGGCACAGTGTAACAGATACCCGCAGAAAGCCCAGTCAGTGGTTGGATATGTATTGAAAGCCCAGTCAGTGGTTGTATATGTACTAAAAAATATAAAATATCGCTGATACATAGTTCCATATCAATAAACAAATATCAATACAAATACATATATGTATATATATATATATGTATGTACACACCTTTCTTTAAGAATATATATATATATATATATATATATATGTAAACTTCGTCGTGGTTGCAAGCACTCCATGCGCCGGTCTTGACCCCAAAAGCGATGAAGGGGGGGCACCCCCTGCGGTCGTACGCCTCCGGGAGCCAAAGAAATACCCAGGCTTAGGGTTTAGGGTTTAGGGTTTAGGGCTTAGGGTTTAGGGTTTAGGGTTTAGGGTTTAGGGTTTAGGGGCTTATATATAGCCTTCTTGCGGCCGGAGCTACAATACCACAGAGCGGTACACTTGAAGCACCTTGTGAGTTTGCGAGCACTGGCCAGATCACAGTCACTCACACCTCAATTGGGCCGAGGCTCGATTACGCGAACGGGAAACGCTGGGCCGGCTTGCAGCACAACGATAAGTTTGCCGGCAGGCTGCTGGTACCTGCAAGTAAGTGCTGGTTTCTTCAACATCTGAGGCTTCACTGATTGAATCCCATGTGACGACGAAGTACCGTTCCATGTCACCCTAAACCCTAGAAAACCTCCGAGATGCCAGGTGAACTTCCCTTCCTGTGACCACCCGGACCCATGAGAGTGCATTCGCCAGGTTCACGGGACTTCTGATGGTCAATGAGCCAGGCGCGCTTCAGGAATGCAGGGGGACACTTGGTGGGAGTAGGCCCGCGTTGGTTCCCAAAAATTTCGATTGCATCAATACCGATGATTTGGGCATTTTCTCACAACATAGCAAAGAAGCAAACCGCAGGCTCCGCCGCGCGCCAAGCTCAAAGCCACTAAGCCAATGTGAAACCCTATCTTCAGCAAGCCTCAAGCAGAGACCTTGCACTTTCAGGGTGTTTTGGCTTGATTAGGGGTTTGGGTTTAGGGTTCAGGGTTTAGGAAACCCCGAGCCCCAGGCCCCGCAAAACCAAACCCCCGCAAATCTCTTTTGTGCGTAGGCACCTACGAGTTCTACCTCACCGCCAACGATGTTGCCCGCGTCTTCATCCAGCACAAGGAGGCCTTGGGTTTCTGATTTAAAGGACTTCGGGATTTTGGGGGTTTGGGGTTGGGGAAGGGGGGGAGAGGGGTCTTGGGGTCCTTGCTTGGAGGTTTCATGGTACCTATTAACCACTTATCACTGTACTTCTAACCCACTTATCAGCCCCTTAAGTGCCCTAAAAAGGTTATATGTACAGTTATAAGTACAGTTAGAAATAATTGGTTAACAAGTACCATGAACCTCCAAGCGCAGCTCGGGTAGCTTGGCTCTGTTGAGGGAGGTCCTGAGGTTCTCACTTCGGGCTCCTGTTGTCCTGGACTCGAGCTCCTTGGTGCAGCATGCATGGCATGCCAGTTGTATTCCGGTACGGCGCCTGCGTGCATGAAGATGCCAACTGCTTGTTGGAGCGGTTTCTTTTGTTTCGTTTTATACTTACGTTCTTTTAGTTCTGCGCTCGTTTCTGGTCTTTGTGTTCTTGCGGCGGTTCACCGGGACTGCGATGTTTACGCAAGAACAAGCCTCGTTACGCATCTTTGTTGTACTTCTTTCCTTAAAGTTTAAGGAGCACTGGGGTCATCGGACGTTGTGCAAAATCAGTACAGCAAGTACGAGCCAGTCACTCTTTGATCGTCTTCATCCCGACGCACAAGAAGCTTGCGCACCGCATGTTGCGCTCCTTCAGACTCGGAAGTTCAAACGGACCCTTGTGAGCCACCTTAGGGTGTTAGTTCGGGGTTAATTTGGGGGCCACTTAGGTAAGGTATAATATATATATATATATATGTATATATATATATATATACAGGGGGGGAGTTATATAGGGGAACAAGATTAAGGGTTGCTTGTAGGGATCCTTTTTCCCCTTTAAGAAGCAGGAGTTGCCTTCCCTGATTTTATGAACGTCTAGATGATGGTGGTTTCCGAAGTTGGGGTACCTTATTGGGGTCCTTATGATAAGGGGATCCTACAATTTGGGGTCTGTTTTAGGGGTCCCCTACTTTCGTAAAGCCCCAGATCTCGTTCAGCTTCAAAGGCAGGCTATGTTGCTCTCTGTTCGTACCGTTCCGCTCGTTGAACTTCCGCTGGTGCTCATGGACACGTGTTCAGCGTTGAAGGCATGGGGAAATCACATGCGCACATGGTCCATGAATAATTTGTTTACCATCCTATGAAGCAATATGCTGCAGGTGTTCAAAGTTTGCTTGTGACTTGTGATCACGCTGGCCTTCTTTGCAATAGAAGAAAACTCGGGAATCATGCAGGGGGGGGGTCAGAAGTAGCCCACCTGCCGAGGCTTCGAAATGTTGGGGGTTTAGTTTACCCGCTGCTCGTGCGCCAGTTCCTGGAGATCTCCGGATGCCGGTCGAAGTCGAAGGAGGTCAAAGCCAAGAAGGCCCCCCCTTCGGCACGGTGCAGGTCGAGCTTTCTTGCCTTCGACATGAAGATCCAATGAAATTTATCACTAGAAGCAGCTTTTGGGTTTGAAGGTATGGCTATCCAGCCTCAAGGGTTTCGGTTTGACTCTTTGTGGGCTGGGGGGGGGGGGGGGGGGGGGGAATCCTTGCTTTGTGCCATGAACAACCGGCTCTTGGCTGCAAAAGCTGAAATGGGCCAGCAGGGTCTCGCATAGCCGCATCGTTTTAAGGCAAGTGCGGAATCATCGACAGCGCAGGGGTGTTGCATTGTACGCTTTTGGCGATGTTCAGGGTTCGGACAGATGCGTGACCCGCACCGGCAGGAACTCACCATGGGCAGCTGGCCGATTGAGGTGTGTGTGTCTGCGGGTTTAGGGTTTAGGGTTTCAGGGTTCAGGGTTCAGGGTTCAGGGTTTAGGGTTTAGGGTTTAGGGTTTAGGGTTTAGCTGTGGCAAGCTGACAGCTGAGCCCGAACCACAGCGAGGGGCTTCTCACAGCGCGTGGCCACTTGAAGCGTAGAGCAGACTTTGGCTTGGCTGTTGCTCATTCGGACCCTAAGCCCTAAGCCCTACACCCTGAACCCTAAACCCTAAACCCTAAACCCTAAACCCTAAACCCTAAACCCTAAACCCTAAACCCTAAACCCTAAACCCTAAACCCTAGACCCTAGACCCTAGACCCTAGACCCTAGACCCTAGACCCTAGACCCTAAACCCTATCCGAAGCGGAAGGTGCACTTCTACGAGAAATTCGACAATGCTAGCCCCGGCATGTTTGCAGTTCGGGCGCTCGGAGGTTCACGGTGCTAGTTAACCAATTACATCTGTACCTACTACCCACTCAAAAGCCCCTTGAGTGCCCTAATCTGGTCATATGTACAGTTACTAGTACAGTTAGAATTGCCTAATGAGTACCATGAACCTCCGAGCACGGGGTGGGGGGGAGAGATTGACAATTGACGATGCGACGTTGGCAATGCCGAACACACATCACTTGGCCAAATGAACCCTAAAATGGGGGTGATTGAGTCAGATACCCTGTACTGCTATTGTGTTCCTATCAAGGAACCCTAAACCCTAAACCTAAACCCTAAACCCTAAACCCTGAACCCTAAACCCTCAACCCTAAACCCTAAACCCTAAACCCTCAACCCTAAACCCTAAACCTAAATCCTAAACCCTACATGACGCAAAAAAACCGTGTAGGGATTCACAAATTGGTCCCCAAGGTCCTAATGCAGGCTGCTCCGCCTTACAACTTGAGCCCATATGCCAGGCCCAACTGACGCTGGAATGGAAGGGTCCCGATTCCGACGACAAGAGGAAAGTGGTGCCTCCGTGGCTTTGCCGCGGATATCCTGCGCACTTCCCCATGTTCTCAATGCTTTGTGAGAGCTTGCTGCTCGTAGGCGTCAAAGACCCGCACTGTCAATTGGAAACACAGAAAAGTAAGAGGCGGTGTTTGGAGACGTGTAGGGGGCTTGTCAGTCGTGTTCATTCTGACCAAGGTCTGCATTTGCGCACATGGCAGCCGTTTGTCTGCAAAAACGGCCAGTCGGTGCCGCAAGCCTGCAGGCGTCAAGTCTTAAGCCGATCTCGCATTGATCCAATCGTCTGACAAACTTTGGATTCCACGAAGGCACATGACTAGCAGAAACCAGAAGGGGGTCGGGAAACAGCCTCGACGGAGGGATCCGCAAAGCCTGAAAGTCCGAAAATGCTCTAGAGTCTTCGAAAGATGGTTCGGATGCCCTGAAACCCGAAGCCCCTAACCCTAAACCCTAAACCCTAAATCCTAAACCCTGAACCCTGAACCCTAAACCCTAAACTCCGACAAGGACAGGTCCATGTGGATGCCCACCTCGGCGATGGCCCGAGGCTGCATCGGCAACACCGCCCTTGGTGCACTGACACTTGGGCTCCGGACCCCAGAATTATCCCCTACATGATCCCTCAAGATACCTCTTAGGTTTAGGGTTTAGGGTTTAGGGTTTAGGGTCTAGGGTCTAGGGTCTAGGGTCTAGGGTCTAGGGTCTAGGGTTTAGGGTTTAGGGTTTAAGGTTTAGGACCTATGTTCACTCCCTTTTAGAGGCACCTAGTAAGGCAGCCAAAAAATTGCAAAAAAAAAAGCGAGGGTGACCTGGCTGCTTTTTTTGTTGCCCTCCCCCCCCCCCCCCCCCCCCCCCGAAAAAAAAAATCCGAAGTCGCCCCAGGAGCCCTGCCATGTTCAACCTGGAGGACCTCTCCAAGGGCCTGAAGATGGCGCCTTGGGGACCCTTTTGGAAGCTTTAAATCCCTTCTTCAAGCTGCCTTTTGCTTTTGGGGGGGTTCTTTTCGGAGGGCATCAGTAGGTGTGTATGTGTATATATTGGATTACGTTATGTTATGTCATATTGTATTACATTTTAAAGTGTCGGAGATTTTTTTTTTTTTGTGTGTGTGTGTGTGTGTTTTTTCTGCGAGGCCTGCCGCTTCACGCCGATCCTCTCCAAGGACAGCAGCACGAGTTTTGCGCGCATGTGGAGTGCCTGCCTGTTCGAGCTATATAGGGTTTCGGGCTTAGGGTTGGAGAGAAGGGTTCATGGTTTAGGGCTTAGGGAGCTTATGAGCCTGAGTTGTGCAAAAAAAAAGATGCATGTTGCGTCCACTCGTTTTTTTAAACGTGTTCTTCAAGTGTTCTGCGCCTGTTTGTTTGGTGGTTGCGAGGACCTACCTGTGGAGATCCACACGAATCGCACCTTCGATGCGGCACCTCGGACATGAAGGAGATCGGGCCAGCCGAGTGGGAACGCATGCGAAGTGTCCTTTGCAATATTCAAAGGGTGGTTGCCCAAAATACGGGTACCCCGTAAGATACCCCAAAATACTACACATTCCTTACCTCTCGGAACCCCCAACAAGGGTGCCCCTATTTTCGGAAACTCCCCCTACTGGCACTCCACTAAGAGCCCACGTGCGGAAGCCTTGCTTAGAAGCGCGAAAGTAAGGTGGAGACCGTGGGCGCCTGGCCACTTTGGTGGGAGGACATGGAAACCTGGGCCCCTTGTCTTGGGGTTTAGGTTTGTAGGGTTTATAGGGTTTAGAGGGTTTATAAAGTTTATAGGGTTTACGGTGTAGGGAATTGTGGAGAATACAAATCGGTTGTGAAGCGCGTGTCGTTGGTGGGATTTGAAGTGGGAGGTGGGGGGAGGGAGAGGTTGCCAAGGCCATACGAGCTGAACTGAGCTGTTCAGGCTCACGAAGACAAGGCCACGTGGGTCTAGGGCTTTTTGTGTCGGTTTTCGGGTAGTTTGGCCTCTTGGCAGGCAGCAGCTGTAGCAATTTTTGCGCATCCGCCGACGACTTTTCGAACCGCTGAGGAAATGGGCTGCCCTTCAGGCAAAGTGATTCAGACAGTGGACCTCCTGAACGCGGCTCGGATCTGCAGCGGAGTTGCTTAAGGACTGTTGGGTTTTGGGGCCGGCGTGTTGGGACGCACACCAGCCGAAGGGTTGTCCGAGAGAGTTGTTGTGACATCCGAATGCCAACCTTGACCGCGTGCCGTGCAAGACATGCAAGACTGTTTGGCTGGTGAACACGTCTGCGGAATGCTCGGGGGCTCAGCGAGGACGTGTCAGCGTAGGAAACTTGGGGCGCTGGCGTCAACAGCCTAGCAGAAAGCAAGATCGTGTCCTGGGCGCAGCAAGTGCCTTAAGTGATGTAAAAAAAAGTTAGGCGGAGTTTCAGTGTGCCAGGCGTCCAGCAAGCTGGTGGTGAAGTACACCTGCGCCGCGTCTGCCGGACTTGGATACTTGGCCCAGCATGAGGATTTCCGAAGTCTGAACCTCTTCTGGGGCCTCGGCCGTATCCCGGGTTCTCTTAACCCAGCAAAGCAATTATGAGGGGCCTCCCCCTTTTGAGAAAAGGGCTTGTGAACCGAAGCCCTGAGGCCTACATCACAGAGTCTGTGATGGCCTTTCAGCTAGGAAGCCTTAAGAAAGGGGTCGGAATAGTTACTAACAATCTTCCCTTAGGGTCCCTTTGTAATTATACTACAATACCCCCCCCCCCCCCCCACCAAAAACAAAAAAACCTGTTCTAATCATTCAGGCCCCGATATTACGCTGTGAGGAGATTGCTACCCCGGCTGGACCGACCAGCAGGATGCTGGGGAGTTCAACGACACCGTCACTCGGAGCACGCCAGGTTTGAAGATTGAGACACCCTTGGACTTTACAGCACATGCTTGTAAAAAATTTTCTTTAAGGTCATCCTTCTGAATATCCTGTGTAGTAGAGTACAGTTGCTAAAAGCATCGGCGCTATGCTCGGATTCAAGGCTTTAGGCGAGCGTTACCATTTCGACCCCCTCCCCCACTGAATGTGTTTCAGTATTTATGGTTTGAGGACAACAACCTGCCATACTTTCCGCTGAGATCCGTAGCTTCCTTAGCCTCAGCCCAAGATCCCTTGGTTCATGGTATCCGGAGCGCAGCAAAAGCCAAGGCCAAGTCAAAGAAAGTCCTCAGCAAGTTGAAGGTCGTATGCCCTGGAAACGACCTGCTCAACTCCGTGCATTTCGAGCCACCCTGCCTGCAAGAAGCCCTGCTCATCGGTCGATATCGATGTCACATCACGAAAGCATGTCTGCACTGTCTGCACTGTGACGGGAAACCGCGACTGCGGAAAACCACGGGACGGTATGACCGGGTATGACCGGGTATGCCTGGGCCTGGGCCAGATGGTGTAGGGCGCTCCGGGGATCTTCAGGGGTGGGCTGTGTAGAGATCCTCCGGGTGATGCTGTAGTCGACAGAGCTGCTCTGCGAGGTACTCGGTGGGCGGCCTGTGGGCGCGGTTCAAGTACATGTGCTGCAAGGAATCAGGCCAGCTGTCTTTGAGCGCAAGAAAAAGCCACATCTCCTACAGCAACGCGCGTCACTGTACTATATTTTTCTTGGGAATATTTTTTATATATCAAACCCAAGAGGATTTTCCACATATTTTGTTAAAGGTTCTAAGGGGAGTATAACTAGTGTCGACGTCTGACTGCAAGTGGCTCTGGTGAATTGGCGCTGCCGCCTCATCACACATCCGACACACACGCTGGGAGAAGGAAGCACCAGCAGTGCCTTTTGCGCTGTGCGCTCCATGAGCCTTCATCCTGAAGCCTGCCTGCGTGTGAACGATGTTTATTAGAGGTGCGGGCAAAGCACCGCAGAGCCAAGCCGAGGTCACCTTCGTAGAGCTAAGCCGAGGTCAGCTTCGTAGAAAACCCCAAAAAACCCGAAACTTCCGAAGCAGATTGTGTGGAGATCGCGCCCATGGTTCGAAGGGTTCCCAAGAAGATTCCGAAGAACAATATGCTGCGTATGTGTAACAAATGTTTACATGCATGCGTGTGCGTATAGCTTATGCTTCATTTGTTTTTGTATTATGCATGTCACTGTATATATAGATATCATACCAAATCTCTGTGTCTGTGTGTGTGAAAGCGAACTCAATTCTGTAGTTCCCTGAGGGTTTCACCTTGAGATGGATTTGAGCATCTTCGGCAGGTGCACCGGTGGTCACGATGTCGGACGGTCCAGACAACAGCAACGTCGACAGCCCGGGGCTCGACACCAAAAGAGCAGTTCCAGCACTCACCTCAAGCCGTCGAAGGCCCTGCCGTAAGGTCCGAAATAGCACAGTAAGATTAACGATCATTAGACAAGAGAGATTGTTTTGAAGAGCGCGCTAAGAGGCCTATAATCAACCATTTGGGCAGTTGGCTTCCACTTTTGGACGCCGCTCCCCAAACAGAGCGGCACCGAAAGCCCACACGAAGCCCCCCAAAGCCGGAACAAAAAAATCTCCAAATTCCGCAGCCATCCCCCCCCCCCCACCCCAAAATACAGTCCGCAAGGCACCCGGACAACCCCAAACCCTAGACCCTGAACCCTAAACCCTAACCCTCCCGTAGCCATTTTGGCTCAAGTGACAATAAGGACCCAGCTTGAAGGACAAGAAACATTGGTAGATTCAGCTGAGTCAAGATGTTCACTTCGGAATCAGTATCCTTCTGACTTCCAGCAACGGCCGCTGGGTTAGTTGTAACCTTGATTTTGCTTGGCTATAACTTTCATGTTGGCTAAGCATGGAGCGCGCGCCACCGCAGACACGGTTCTTCAGGCTCACGCAGAGCCCTCCAGCCACTTTTTCCCCAACTGAAGCGGAGTACGCAGCGCTGGGACCTCCTGCGGTGCCTCTAGGCCAAGCCCGCCACCCTGTCATCCCACCGGGCTAAGCATTTCCTTGCGTGCCTTGGCGCCCTATGGGGAACACGGCAAGGCGATGCCGGCTGGGTAGAGCCGCTCTGGGATGACCAAGATATTTACCCTGGCCCTCGGGCCCACATTGCATGAAGATTGCCGGTGAACTGCATGATCTTGCTTGCTGTACGCTTGCCGCCACGCTGCATGAAGACCGCCGAGCGGGATGGCATGGCCATGTAGAAGAGCAGCCAAAAGTGTTGACCGCAAATTTTCACTGGAATGGGCAGGAAGATCGCATCCGCGAACATGAGTTGGTCTGGCACCCTCTCAGTCGAAGCTACATTGATGGTCGTCGACGCGTGATGTCATTGATGCATGCATTGGCACAGTTGGATGTGGAGCTGCAGCAGCCAGGACGTGCGATCAGCATCTTCAGCTGGCAAGACCGTCGTGGCGGCGGACATCTGCTTTCGTTTGATCCTGCGTCCAAGAATCTGAATCTTCTGTGCATCGACTACAAACATGGCAGCCTACAGAGTTCTGGTTGGCATGGCAGTGGGCACTTGCAAGAGGATTGCTTTGAGGTCAAAGTCCATTGGCAAGGGGATGAGACCAAATTACGCCACTGCCATTTGATGTGGCATCCCAAGAAGGCTGTCTACATGGATCAGCTTCGCACGGTCAAGCCTTTGCGCGGTGGATTTCAATGTATATGAGCTCTTTGCAGCCGGAAGCATATGCAGGGCGATCTGCAGAGTTCTGGTTGGCATGGCAGTGGGCATGGCAGTGGGCATGGCGCTGGGCACTTTCAAGAGGATTACTTCAAGGTCGAAGTCCATTGGAGCAAGGGGATGAGACCAAATTACGGCAATGCCATTTGGTGTGGCCTACCACTTCACTGAGTATGAGCTCTTTGCAGACGGAAGCATATGCAGTAAGACTAAAAGTTAACACAGTAGCACCTCCATACAAGCAAGGCTAAAAACGAATGGTAAAAAAGCGTGTGTGGGCAGTGTTCAATTGGAGACTTGAGGCAGCAGCAATCGGAGCAGTATTGTCTTCATTAGCTCTGAAATTTGATGTCTGTTCTCTCTGCAGTCATGATGCGCCTGGTTGTTTCGGCTTTCGGACTTGTTTCATCACGTCCCTCGCAGTTGATTCGTACAGGTTTGTACAAGCGGCCTTGCGACACTGCGCTCAAGCGTTGTTGTTGTGCTCAAAAGCCAGTAGCAACAGAGCTCGACGAGCATTAGGAAGCACTTTGTCAAACAAGCCTAGTAAAATGGGTCCGACCAGCACCATGGAACGCTTTCTGGACAAGCAGAGGCAGGGGTCAGAAGGATTTTGAAACTCACAACATTTCGTCTTGAAGACACAAGGTTGCAACAGTGGAGAAGTCAGGAGCCCGGATTGCTCACAGACAGCACAGGTTCAAAGCAGGAACTCTGAAATGTTAGGTGGTGGACCGGTCCATAAATGTCTGTGCCCCGGTCATGAATCCGGTGCGGATACAGTTCTCTCTGTCTGCATTTTGAGGCGGTCTGTTCGCGACGTGGAGACTCGAAGGTCTTTGGTGGGATATCTTTTACAAGATCAAGGCCATGATGCAGCATCGGCAATTCCCGAAGACCCAAGCCCGAAGAGCCAAACTTTGGTGCAGGATGAGTCTGACTTGCAAGGGCAAAACTTGTTGAACCTCATCCGGAAGGCAGGTCGTTGAGTTCGCAGCGTGATAGACCGATACCAGAAGCTACTGACCTAAGGTGCGAGTGTTGCCTCTGAAGAAAAAGGATCCTGGCGGGGTTCCAATGGAGTCGCCGGGGGCTCAGCACAATCATAAATTCGGAAAGACAAGCGCGCAGAATGCGCTTCAGGCTTTCAAGACCCCAAGACGGGGCGCTTTTGGTGGTGGGACTCCAGCACGGAGTTCGCACGCTGGGAGGAGGACGGACAGGGCAATCTGGCATGTCAAAAAAAAGTTCTACAACAGCCGCTGAGTTTGTCGCTGGTACTTTCGTGTCTCAAGCGATGGCTTATGTATACAGGACAGAAGAAAGTTTTGAGCCTGGCTTGTTAGCCTGGTTTGTTTTTTTTCAGGTCAGGCTGGAGCTAGTTGCGTTCGAGCTGAAAATCTTGTATTGTCAACGAGATGCGAACCTGAAGCTGTTTTCATTCTCAAACCAAAAGCCAGAAGGGGGGTTGAGACAGACGAAGCCGCACAGGCATGGCCCTTTTGGGTAAAAGAAAGAGCATCTTGTCGGCTGAGTGCAGGTCATTCTCCATGGCGACTTCACCGTCGGGAACTTCTCCCAATGGCCGGCAGGCACCTGACAGTCAGTCTGGCCTGCTGGTCTTTCCCAAACACAGAGAGTACCGCACAGATGGCTATGCTGCCACTTCATTGGCAGCTGGGTGACGAAGGTTGGACGTTTATTCAATCATGATGCCTTAGTAGTTCACTTCTCGCGAGGCTAGATTACTTTGTGGAGCAAGCCGACATATGTCTATGTGCCCCCATCACACGCAGAAGGCCAGACTCCTTTCTGCCTTATTTCGTTCTGTTTTATACACGAGGTGCCCTTAAACATGATGTGTGCCACCATGACACTCACGATGACGGACGATGGCTTGGGAAACCACGCCGCGCTGAAGGCTTGACGAGCCTGGCCGTGATTTCCTTTGGGTTGTGTTGGGTGTAAACTGTTACCCTTCCTGTTTGGAGGAGCTCCGAGCCAGGATTCTGCTTACCGTAGCCCGACGCTCTGTTTGTTGCGATGGTGGGTGTATTAGTTAGCATGCTTTGAGCGTATGGCTATGGGGGGGGCTTTGGCACCGAGTCCCAATGAGGACTAGGTAGCCATAGTATGGTTGCTTGCTGCAGTTGTAGTAGCTGCCTCCAATGTGTGGTGGCCCCTTCACTCGTCGAGACTACGGAGCCTTGCCTGCGCGCGCTAGTGTGAGAGTCGAAACCCTCGAAGTCCAACCCTAAACCCTAAACCCTAAACCCTAAACTCTAAACCCTAAACCCTAAACCCTAAACCCGAAACCCTAAACCCTAAACCCTAACCCCTGAGTCGGATCTCCCAGGCTTGGAAGGCAAGTACTGTCCAGAGAAAGTCGGCACATCCGGGCGCATGGACTACATCCAGGAGGTGCGGGAGAAGAGGTGGTCGTATCTTAAGTATTTAACATAATGGTGTTGAAGGGTACTTAAACTCAATAAGGATGTAAGTTTTTAATATTTACCCAGCCATGAACTAGGTATCATAGGGTTCTGAAAGGAGGGGGGTTCAAGGGGGGGGTATGGAACCCAAGCTTGCCCTAAGGCCCCCCCCCGCCCTAGAGTCGTATGGCCTCAGGGCTTCCAATGCTTTGCTTCAAGGGGTCTGAAAGAGTGTGAGCCAAACTATTATTCGGTTGTAAGAAATTAGGAAGCAGGCATTTACCTGTTCCGGTTGAGGTGGTGTGGTGACTAATTCTAATTGCTTCGCAATGCACATCTTGTGTTTGCTTCGCGCTATATGTAGCTCATAGATGTCTGCAGTCGAGGTGATTGTAGCATTTCCTTGCTTCCAATAGCCTTGAGCCTCTGAAACCCCGCAGAACCCCTGAATCGAACATCGAAGCCAGCGCCGTTGCTTTGGTTAAGAAATGGACAATGAGAGCAGGAGGGGGAGAGGAGGGCCCTCAAGCCTTAGGATCTCGGGGCTTGTGGGTAGGCCAAACTAAATTCTCGAGATTCATAACCTCCCCTTGTGCAGCCCTACGGGCGATGGCAGACCAAGTCTCCCGGCAAGTCACCTGGCTGCATCCGATGACAAGCTGTTTCCATGTTGGACTTCAGGGTGTTCCGGGTTGAGCGTCGTGGGTAACCCAGAGGGTCCATCTGTTGTACCATTGTTATGGAATATGGTACCAAAAACCATATTAAATGTTTTTCAAATACCTACTTACATAATAATTAGTACTACAGATGGGACCCCCGGGCAAGCACGCCGACTTTTTCCCAGATGGCGGAAATGAAGAAGAAAGACAGGGTCTTTGGTGTTGCCTGTTTGTGTCAAAGGTTCACCGCACAGTGGATACCATGGCCATGAGAGTAGTTTTTCTACGTGTTGAATCGAGGGATGACGCAACGGGCCATAACACATGCGTAACACATGCGCCATTCACCTCGCACACTTTACGCACCAGAGTCCACATAAGGCATCCCCACGGCATGCACGCAGCCTCGGTGCAGAACTGCGTGACCCAACCCTGACAGACCTTCACTGCCTCTTCAACGGGCCCCCTTAAAAAGGCCCCAAGAGGTGCCCCTCCCCATTCTTCAGGCTCGTCTTCAGCGAGGAGTCTGGAAAGTGGTGCATCGGAGGCTCTCGAATGAGGTTCTTGGCATGTTCAACGAGGAAGTGGACGAAAAGCTTTCCCCCAACAAGCCTGCACTCTCACCTTCTGTGGGCCTTTGTGGGTGCGGGGTGGCTTAGGAGAGGTCATCGTGTACATCTCTAAACAGCAGAATCCAGCAATGCAACGCGGGGCTCCTGACACGAAAGCCCTGATCTGACAGACCTACGCTGAGTGCAGGTCCTCATTTTGTAATCTCTCTTCCTTTGAACTCCTAAAGCCGCAGAGGTGTTGTGCTTTAGGGTTTACAGGTCCTGGTTGGCCTTTGTGGAGTTGTCATTTTTTTACCTCTGCAGAGAGCACTGCAAAAGTAGCAGCATTGAAGGCACGTTTCATCCACTGAACACTGCTGAAAAAGCACCTAATTCAAGTATAATGAGGGCCTAAAATGTTGGCTTTTGATATTGGGTTGCCAACTTTTGAGAGGGGACCCCTAGATTAATTGCCATGCCACCCGGAAGAAATCCTGCAACCCTAAGACCCTCAACCCTTCACACTCTACCGCAGAATGCCCTGACAGCCCACGGAAGAAATCCTGAGTCCTTAAACCCTAAACTCTAAACCCTAAACCCTAAACCCTAAACCCTAACCCCTAAACCCTAAACCCTAAACCCTAAACCCTAAACCCTAAACCCTAAACCCTAAACCCTAAACCCTAAACCCTAAACCCTAAACCCTAAACCCCATCCTATCCACACAGACTGGAGCCGGGAGCCTCGCCCTGCGCTAGTTGCGAGAGTCGAAAAAATGTTAATCGCCCAGCAACCCTGGTAACCCCAGTTACCCTAGCAACCCTCATGGCGTTTATAGCCCTAAACCTTTGAACCCACAAAACCCTTTAGTCTCCCTAGCTCCACGCCCAGGGTTTAGGGCTTTAGGGTTCAGGGTTTAGGGTTTAGGGTTTAGGGCCCGCTGAAACCCTGACAGCCTCAATGAACCCCAACCGGCCCCCACCCCCCCCCAACGGCAGGCGACTGCTCTGCTGAGGGCAACGCCGTCGAACCCGGCGGCTCCTTGCAGTCACACATATTGGGGTTTAGGGTTTAGGGTTTAGGGTTTACGGCTACAGAAGGAACATTTTGGGAGGTAGGTAGGGCTTTTTTCATTTTCCCTTATTGGGTTTAAGAGGGTCATATTCAGGAATATACACATAGGGAACATTTTTTGGGAGGTTGAAAGTTTAGAGTTTAGGGTTTTTTTGGATGGGATGTTCCCCCTTATACGAGCAGTCCTTAACAGTTCTAGTACCCCCTCTTATAATCCCTATTAAGGAGTTAGCATTAGGGGGCAACATCCGAATTTAAAGGGCTTAGTCTTCGTGTTTAGGGTTTAAGGTGGGAGTGGAGCTTCGGTCATCTGTAAGAGTCATGGGCACATCAGAGCGGCGCAGCTTGAGGAACGCGGGGCTCGGGATGTTTAGGGTTTAGGGTTTAGGGTTTAGGGTCTGAAGGCGACGGCAGCTGCGCGTAGAGTTCTTAAAGAGTTCGGGAGCGTCTTTTGACAAGTTACCATACTCAGATCTTCTGGGTATAAACCCTAAGCCCGAAACTCGAAGCTCCTCAACTAAACTCCCTCAACTTCTAAACATGTAGAGATGCGCCAATGCAACTCGAACCCCAAAAAAAGACACAGCGAGAGAACATGAGAAACACCAGCGTTCGACCCCAAGCCCGCGCCAGAGGTATTGATCTTGCAGCCTACGATGTCAGGGAAGTCAGCGATTTCGATGGAAAGTTCGAGGCGCCCAGAATCCAAGCTCAGCACAGGCTTCGAGGAGTAGTCTTGGGGGTTCCTATGAGGGGGGGTATATTATACAGGGGTATAAATTAAGGAAATTAAGGGTACCTCGTTTTTTCGGGAACACCTGATGAAACATCTGGAAGAGCTCTCCCGAAGCGCAGTCAGGGGCCCGGCAGACGTGTGAAAAGTTACCCACGCGGTTTAGGGTTTAGGGTTTAATTAGGGTTTAGGGAGCAGTATACAAAAGTTACCCTGGTACATTGCGTTCCTTCGTGGCAAAATGAAAAGGCCTGTTCTTGCACCATTAACAGCACTCCAGTTCGAAAGGCAAAATGCGTGAGGCTTTGTAAAGGCAGCCCTGAGAAGCAGAGGCCATGCCTTCATTTGTTATACTGAAGGTTCATGGTACTCATAAACCAACTATAACTCTACTTATATCCCACTTATAAGCCCCTTAAGTGCCCTAATATGGCTATAAGTACAGTTATAAGTACAGCTACAATTGGTGAACAAGTACCATGCACCTCCACGTAATCAAAGTGACCATGAGCCTACCGGATCCGTGCAAGAAGCCTCAAGAGATGCGGGTGCTGGGCGCTTAGGCTCGCCTCAGGCTTTTTTTTGCTGTTGGGTACCTGAATTCTAACTTTGGGATGTGCCCCCCTTATACAAGCAGTCCTGAGTAGGGACTATCGTCGTGGTACTAGAATCCCGATTAGGGACTGTTCCCTAAACCCTACACCCTAAACCCTAAACCCTAAACCCTGTTAGTATAAGGGGGGCACATCCCAACCACAAAGTTTCGAAGCCCCCACCTGGCAAGGCAAAAGGCCTGGGAAGCCCTGGCGGCGGACTTCTCGGCCCTGGCCCTGTGCCGGAGGTGGGGCTTTTAGGGTTTGCAGGGCTTTCAGGGTTTGTAGGGTTTAGGGACCCCAGGAGCCCTGAAGCAAAAACAAGTTTAGGGTTTAGGGTGCTTCCGTAAGAATGCACGTTGCTCGGCATGTTGGTTTGTCCCCGAAGGCCTTGACAGTGAGACAAGCAGGTGTGGAGTGATAAGGGGCGTCGGCTTGTGATATTCTTGGGACATCTCCGAGGTGAAGGCACCTCCACCACCGAAGCGACCTCCTGCCCGGGCCCTGAACCCGATTTCAGGGCTGAGTCGCTCTGAAACTGCATGTGTCGATTCGTTTTTTTCCCTCCATATTTTGGCGAGCACATTTGCAAAGGTTCTTGGGTCGGTGGTGAAAGGTGGATGAACCGACTAGCTCTTAGTAGGGAATGTGGGAGCTTGATATCGTATTGCAATCGTTCTTAGTGGGCGAAAGACGACGGAGAAGGTGCAGCACGTTTTTGTTTGTCGCTGCTCTATCACTGCACCAGGAATGCGTGCTCCCAGCTCTTTTTCGGCGCGCTTCCCTAAACCCTAAACCCTAAATCCTGAACCAGCTGAACCACCAAGGCGCCAAAGAAGCCGACGCTGCTGAAGTTCGAGTCTCCTGGTTGCGTGGGATTTTGACATCCCCACATCCTCACCCGAAACTTTACAAACCCTGAAGCCCTCAACAACGACTTGCGGCAGGCCCGAGATGCCCAAGTACTCGGACAAATGCGCCGCTCGGCTTTTGTTGTGCCCCCTTCGCTCAGCAGAGGGCCCCCGATGCGCTTTTGTGATGTCTTGTTGGACGTTCTTTTGTTGTTGTTTTTTTTTTTTTTGGCGGGGGGGGGGGGGGGGGGGGGGGGGGGAGGGGCACTCTTTCGGAAGCACCGTTTTCGTCTGCGTTTGTTAGGTTTGTGGGGTCTGGATTGCTCAACTACAAAGTCGGGCAGCGCTATTTTTGTGGCGGGGGCCCAACGAGTGCACCGAACGCGAGTGCTCTCTGGCTTCCAGGTCGGTTACGGTGACTTGTGGAAGAAGGTGCAGGAGAACCAGTCAGGGTCGATCTGGTTGCGAGGTTTCAGGTGCTGGCTTTTCGAAGTCTCAATATCCGTGGATGTAGGCCTAAGGGCCCGTAAGGGATCAGGCTTTGTTTCAGGCCAGCGTTGCAGGCCCTCAAGTGGCACTAGGCTGGCCCATTTCAAGTGCTTTTCGCTCCAAGACTCTCCCTCTGATCGTCTCTCGTCGTTCTCTCCTCTCGGGGTTTAGGGTTTAGGGTTTAGGGTTTCGGGTCATCTCCCTAATCCCATTCCTGTCTTCTTTCCCCTCTTACTTGTACGACTCCTCCTTCCCCCTGTCTGGACCGGGGAGTGTTCCAAATTGGGGTCTGCTTGTGGGTGCGTGTTTCGCAAATAAAGCCCTGTTATTGCAAGAGCTGAAATTAAGAGTCAATTTAGAAAGAAGATCTCCACCCCCCCCCCCCAACCAGATAGATAACAAACACAAGCTGCCCGCAGCGCGTTCCTTGCCAGGAGACGACCGTCGACGAAGCGGGAGATCCCCAGTCCAATGCCAACGAGCGCCGCTACCGCAGCTGGAGAGGAAGTTTGACAGGTTTAGGGTGTTTAGAGTTTAGGGTTTAGGGTTTAGGGTTTAGGGTCGGAGAGCTAAGAATACGGTTGTTGAGTCCGCAGCTTCAGGTCCTAAGGTCCTAAGGGTTTTGGGTGCTTGGGGCTTCTAGGGCAATATATACATACACACAGATACATACTATATATATATATATAAGATGTATATATAATACATATTGTTTGTCGTGTAAAGATAGATGCAAATGATCTATATGCATACCTCTCCATTTCAAACGTGTAGAGTTGAGTCAACGGTTCGTCGTGAAGCTCTTCGTCGACTTTCTCGCCCTCCCCCAAGACAGGCTGGAGACCGAAGACGAGGCGGCCTCTGGATACCAGGACTCACAGTCCAGTTGTAGCAAAAAGGCTTGAGGGTCTTAGGCCAAGAAAAGAAGGGTTTAGGTCCGGACTTGCAGGATCAGGATGCCAGTGTCCAATTTCCTGGGATGGGGGGGGGGGGGGGAAAGTTGCCAGAAAGCTCCGTTTTCCTGGAAGGACGCGCATCCCTGCGATCTCGCCGGGGCAATCGGCGGGATCTCCAGCAGCCTGTCGAATATACGATTTTTGGGCATCTCGTACACCTTCAGCTCTCTACGCAGGCAAAGTGATATTTCGCAGCTGCTATTTAGGATTACCGGAGTTTCAATTCCCCGCTGCTTCACCTTTCGATGCGATGCAGTGCGGTACTCCTCTCCACCCCTCCAAACCCATCTCCCAACCCTCTCGCCACCCTCCCATGCACCCTCCACCCTCCCACCATCCCACCCATCCCCAATCACACCCATCCCACGCACCCTCCAGCCTCCTGCACTAGCTGCAGGTGTAAGGCAGCAACCGCTACGTTTGCCTTCAGCCCTGAACCCAATGGAGCTGCATCGTGGAACATTTCCGGATGCTCCACCGCAAAGGCAAAGACAACGGAGGCGACGGAAAGCCGCTCAAGAAGCCCCTCACATATGACTCCTTGGCTTAAAATCCAAGTTTTTTCGTACCATGGGTGTGACCCCTTCCCTGACCCCTTCCCGTGTGTGGTTAAGCGGTTTAGCCTTTAGCTTTCTCCTTAAACCCAATCACGCCTTGGTTCTTAGAGGGAATGGGGGACTTAGGTACCCTACACAATTCCTTACAGGGAATTTATAGGGTGCTGTAGGGTACCTCACTCCCTCATTCCCTACTAGTCACCAGCAAGTTTCTTGTTGGGGGGGATTTCTCAAGGCGGTACAGCTACTGTGCCGCCTTGCCACTGCTACTGTATCAGGCGCGTGGCCGAGGCAAGATGGCTTTTTGGAGGAAAGGGTCACCCACCTTCGATTTTCACCAGGGCCACTCATGCATTCACGTTGTTGGGGTGTCTGAGATTTCGGGCTATAGATTGGAAGATGTGAGGTTCCGACACGCCTGCAGGCACGTTTCCCAATCACCGGACTGCACTATCTGCGCTAAGCTGCTCCTCAAGAACCCTCTGCTCCTGCAAGCCATGCTGAACACGGCTGGTTACTCATACTTGTACTTGCAACCCCCTAAACCCTAAACCCCAAGCCTAAACCCTAAACCCTAAACCCTAAACCCTAAACCGTGCTCAAGTTTCGCCATGCTGAGGACAGCATCAAAGGCCGGCGGCTTAACTTTTGCAGTCCCATTGGCCACTGCCCAGCCGGAGTGTTCAGAGCTGTTCCAGAGCTACTTTCTTCAAGCCCCCCAGGTTCTTGAACCCATCCACCCGTTAAAGAACCACCTCAAACCACAAAGTACTTTCTTTTTACTTTCTTTTATGAGTCGAGATGTCGGCAGCATAGGATAAAAAGGGTCAGGTGGGTTTTGGACCGTTCTCGGGCTCTTGCGATCTGCAAACTCCTGAGGTCATGGCGGGTCGGCGCGTGCACACCCTCAACCCTAAAGAGTGCTGGGCGGGGGTGGCAAGCAAGGCCGAATGTCTCTAAAGTCATGCTGCAAGGCCTGAGGGCTTGAGGGGCCTTCCTTGTGTGGAGTCATAGAGCTCCCCCCAATTTTAACTCCCAATGGCTTAGGGCTAAAAAGGAGCTGACGAGTCGCCTTTGCAACCAGAGCTGCTCCTTGAGCCGAAGCCCCAAAACACGTTAGAGATCTTGCCTGCATAGCTCCGCGGAATTTGTCCCCGCCTCCCCTCAAAAACGCCCTATAAGCCACCGAAACCTGAAGCCCTAAGCCCTAATTAAGCCCTAAGCCATAAGCCCTAAACCCTAAACCCCTCCTAAACCCACTTTGGGCACGTTCCTGGCTGCTTGGGGCTTCATCCAGCCCAGGCTGCTTCGACCGGAATGGTAAAGGGGCCGCAAAGCCGAGCCGACATGATTGCACAACTGCCCCCCCCCCCTTGTTTGGACATTTGGGTTTAGGGTTAAGGGTTTAGGGTTGAGGGTTTAGGGTTTAGGGACATGTGGGTCCCCTTTCATGAACGGACAAGCATGTTTAGAAGAAGATTGTCGGGGTCCTGGATCCTAAACCCTACGCAGCCAGATGTTGCAGGAGAGGACTTTCTGCTGTCTTTAAGGCACGACATCTAGCAGAACTTCTGCCAGTGCCCAGCAGTGCAGCGGACAAGTCAGCCAGGTAGCTAATCAGTTGACCCTGAAACAACCAAAAAGATCGACAACAAGACCTGAAATTGACGTTGACCCTTATTGATCTTCTTGATCCCTGACCCCCTATTAAGGGGTTCTTTCTGGCTTCACAAGAATACCTCAAAATGAGGCCCTCAAACAGAAGCCAAGGCATGGGGGGTTTCCGCACAAAGGGGGGTACCCTTTCTGAGGGGTCCCTTTTAAGGCAAAGGGGATTCTATTGAAATGAAACCATAATTACCCCTAGTTTGGCAAATGCCCAGAATGGTGGGTAAAATCCTCAGCTCAAGTCCTCATCCTCGTCGAGCCCCTTGGGGGGCTTTTGCGTTGCGAGCTTACACAAACCCCGGGAGCAAACAAGAGCTCAGTTGGCAAGGAAGCAGACAAAAGCAGATGCCCAAAATAGCAAGTAAAACCGCTAAAGATAGGGTTCAGGGGTTCAGGGGTTCATGGGTTTAGGGGTTTAGGGGTTTAGGGGTTTATGGGTTCAGGGGTTTAGGGGTTTAGGGGTTTAGTGAGGGCCTGCATCTCCCGGCAGCTGCGCAGTCCTGGTTGTAAACAGGGTTTTGGGGATAAACGGAGAAGTCAGCCAGCCTTCCCTAAACCCCGAACCCCCCCCCCCCCGGCGTGCGCGCCAGGATCGCCAAGGCCCGGATCTAGGGTTTAGGGTTTAGGGTTGGTTTAGGGTTTAGGGTTTACAGGGCTTAGGGTTTAGGGTTTCTCTTTCCGGCCTGGACATCCCAGCCCGCATACAGAAGGGGTTTAGGGTTTGGGGAGGTTGCAGCTTTCTCTCGGGCTTTTGTTATGAGAGCTCTTCAGAGGCCGTATGCCTATGTCAGGTTCCCCCTCCCTTGTTGGAGCATGCACCCACCACTGGGATTCGAGCTCGTTCCATCCTGTGTGATCTGTGCAGGGCCTGCCCCAAGGGGGTAAGTTTGCTATAAATCCTCTTCTTGTGGATGGTGGTTCTCCAGGCACCTAAAATCAACCTCGTAGTCCCTACACCCTAAGCCGCTGCCAAATGTCACCCGGGGCAGGCGCAGTCCTATGTGGACGCCCTCATTGCTGGCAACTCCCTCAATGCCGCCATTGGCCAAGCGCTGCCTGGCCTACACTGCAGATCCTCTGTGCCTTTTTCGGGGAAGAGGGGAACGTGTGGCATTGGCGGTGGCTTTGGTAAGGGCTTTTAAGTTGCTCATGTCCAAGGCTTACCGCTTCGCATGTCAGATCTCTCTTGGTAGCTCCTCCTTGCTACAACCGGCAATCCGAGTCTGGTCCCCAGTACCTTGTGAGTCATGGTGTTAGTAGGGCCGCACGTAGGGAGTTCAGTTCTTGCAGTCCTTGGCTGCAATGCTGTTTCTGCACTAGATGCACTAGGTGCTGCCACGCAGCTGGGGGGTCTAAGCCTAAACCCTAAACCCTACAATAAGCCCTAAACCCTAAACCCTAAACCCTAGACCCCAAACCCCAAACCCCAAACCCCAAACCCCAAACCCCAAACCCCAAACCCCAAACCCCAAACCCCAAACCCCAAACCCCAAACCCCAAACCCCAAACAAACATTCGCCAAAGAGGCTTTGCACCTGGATTCCGACTGCGGTCGTGGCTCCTTTCGCTGCCGGCCTCAGCCTCGCGGCAAGCATCGGCATCTCAAGTTGGGTCATCTAAGTAACAATATCACAGCAAGTAATAATACTAGAAATATTTAATAATAGCAAGAATATCCGCTATTTTAATGATACTGTAGCAATAATAATAAGAAGAAGAATACAGTAATTATATACTGGGTCGATATGGTTTATTAGCCCGCAAGCCCAGAAGATGACCCAATCGCTGTGTGCCCTGCGGAGCCAGCAAGATCTTCACAGTTGGTGCTTGCCGGTCGATGTGTGTCCGTTTTCTATGCTGTATTTGAGACCCGAAATCCATCGAAACGCCAAGGTGCTCCTGCAACAAGTGCCGATGTGTACATATGAAGATGTGTACGCGTGTGCGTGCGTGCGTGCGTGCGTGCGTGCGTGTGTGCGTGCGTGCGTGCGTGCGTGCGTGTGTGTGTGTCTGCTGGGTGTTGGTCAATTCTGAGGTTCACTCTCTCATGTAGTCCAGGGTATGTCACAGGCCCCGGGCGCGACATACCCCTATTTAGACCCACAGCCATGTCGCATTCACAGGTTCGAATACATATTGGCCTCGGCCTTGCCAAGACAGGTCCGAGGTATCGTTCGCGGTGTCGTTCGGGTATTGTTCCGACAGCAACACAGACCCCACATCCAAAGTCCATTTCTTGAGCTTACGTTAGACATGGCAGTTCTGTTTTATCGCTGTGCGCTGCGGGAAGACTCGCGAAACATGTCTGTTTTCAGACTTTCAAGCTGCTAGCCTCACGTGGCTATCGCGGAGAGAGGGAGTCAAAGAAACGTTCACGGGTGGATTTGTGGCAACGGTGCTGTTTAATCGCTGTGCCCTGCGGGAAGACTCCACCAAACATGCATTTTGCAGAGTTTCAAGCTAGTCTCAAGCTGTTATCCCCAAGAGGCAGAGAGTTTTCCCTAATTATCATTGTCGCATGTTTCGGGCCTTGTGTGCTTTGGGGTTTTGGGTTCCGGGCTTTCTTCTTGACATGTAAATTTACCTTCTGTGCCTTGGGGTTGGGCTATCTACAGGTTGATTGGGCTGTGAAACTGCGCTCCGCACTCGTAATAATATGTACTACAAAGCTAAAAGGCGAAGCTATGAGCATACGCATATACTACTTAATTAAGAAGCTAATGTATTCATATACGGAGATACTGATATGCTAAATATATATAATATAATAAGAACTTAATACTAATATACTAATATACTAGTATACTAATATATTAATATAGTAATATAGTAATATAGTAATATAGTAATATAGTAATATAGTAATATAGTAATATAGTAATATACTAACATATTAATATACTAATATACTAATGTACTAATGTACTAATGTACTAATGTACTAATGTACTAATGTACTAATGTACTAATGTACTAATGTACTAATGTACTAATGTACTAATGTACTAATATATGAATATACGAATACAGTAATAGACGAATAGACTAATATACTAATATTAGTATATTCTAATCTATTAATATACTAATCTGAAAATATACTAATATACTAGTATACGAATATACTAATATATGAATATACTCATATCTAATATACTAATATATTAATATACTAATCTACTAATCTACTAATATATTAATCTGCTAATATACTAATATACTAAGATAATGAATACACGAATATGTTTATCTACTAATTCGGAAAACTAATAATGTAGAACTAGAGGAAGTAGGTAATGCTAAACATCATGTGCATGAAAAAGAAAGCATCTCTAGTGCAAGGAGGCCTCTCCTAAGCCCCAAGTGCCCGTCCAGAATCTGAGTCATTATGCTGTACCAGTATGTTATAGCATATGCTGTTTTGTTTTTTTATGATATTCTAGTATGTTCGTATTTTGGTATATTAGCATTTTAGTATCTCAGTATATCATTTTTTCTCATCACGCTCCTATCGTTTGTTGGACGAAGAATGCTTTGTGGTACTTTACTGTAACTCTAGATCTTTATCTTTTTTGGGTTTATTGGGTTTCTTAGTAAGGCAGCTAAAAGTTTAATTTATAGCTACCCTCCTGAGTGCAGCCAAGAATGGAAACCTGGGCAGAGCTGCAAAGCTGGCGTCGCCGTGGGAGTCAGCGTGGTCTTGACCATGAAGGAAACGCGCTTTGCATTTTGTAGGGTTTAGGGTTTAGGGTTTAGGGTTTAGGGTTCAGGGTTCAGGGTTTAGGGTTTAGGGTTTAGGGTGATTGATCTCCCTTAAATGGGTTTAGGGTGCGAAAAGACACCCCGACATTTGAATCGACCGCCAACTTTTCTTCGCAGATTCTTCAAGCGTGCTTTTTTGTGCCAGAACCTGGCCTTCCAGACGGCGAAGGAAGTTGTCGCGCAGGAGAGCATTCCTTGGTCTGCCTGGTTGTTTTAGGGCTTTCGGGGGGTTTAGGTACGTAAACGCGCGCTGATTGAGGACATTCAGATGGCTTAGGGTTTCAAAGGCGATGCTTAGATGTGCTTCGTGGTTGGGTCGGCATCCCGCTGTTGAGCCGAGTCGTCCTGCCCCAAGAAGCCCAAAAAAGCCCCAAGAAGTTTCAGGCTGGAGCAGCACCGAAACCTGCAAATGTACTATAGGGGACTTAGTAGTCAGATGGGGGTTATTCTGGTTATTCTAGTACATTTAAATAGGGACCATGCGGGAATACTATTAGTAATTATTCCGACCACTTACTGAGGGCCTAGAAGAGGGCCTCTGGAATGAAGCTCGGGCATTTTTGTTTGCTTCAACTCTTCCCCTTCGCCCAAGGGCCAGTGATCTTCGGCATAAAATCGTCAGAACGTCGACCGCCGCGATGGGTTCTTGTGATGAGGCTTCGGGAACCCCCAAGTACCCATTCAAAGCTCCTTCAGCTCTAAACCCTGAACCCCAAACAAAAAACCCTAAGCCCAAACTAAGTTAAGCTAAACGAAACCTAGGATGCCCAGTAGTACCCTTACTCCCTTTTCGGGGGGTTTAGGTTCCCTTATAACCCCTTTAAGCAAAAAAGGGTACCCTTTTTAAGCCTAGGTTACTGGGCAGCCTAGCCTAAACCCTAAACCCTAAATCCTAAAGCCTAAACCCTAAACCCTAAACCCTAAACCCTAAACCCTACTGTCGAGCTAGTATGCTTGAGAGTTGAGCGCACCTCCGCAGAACCAAGCGGCAGATTGCTCGCCAGTTCCAGCCATGCTCTCCCGCCTCTTCTGCCACCCTGGCTGCCAAAAAGAGATGTCAAGGACTTTTGGTTTAGGGTTTAGGGTTTAGGGTTTAGGGTTTAGGATTTAGGGTTTCGGGTTCTTCGAATCCCTAAGGGTACCCTAAACCCTAAACCCTAAACCCTAAACCCTAAACCCTAAACCCTAAACCCTAAACCCTAGGGCCTTGAAGCCCCCTACAGTACCCAACATGGGGGGGGGGGGGGAAGGGGGAAGGGGGTGTTGTGCCCAGGTGATGTGCACTGCGTGCGGGATGCCGTCGTGCGAGGCGCCGGGCCCTGTGCTTGAGGGTCCCTGAGGTCCTCTAAACCCTAAACCCTAAACCCTAAACCCTAAACCCTAAGCCCTAAGAGCTAATCCCTAAACCCAACTTTCTGGAGTACTCTGCGGAATCCTCTGCTGGGAGTGTGGATGACCGACAGGAGACCGGGGCAGTTAACATCTGGGACTTGTTTAAGAATTGGGGCGTGAAGCCGCAGTTGTCCAGGCGACCGGACGATCCTCCGCAACTTGAAGAAAGCCACTGCAGCTCGGTTCAGGATGCTTTCAGGTGGGTACAGGTGGGTACAGGTGGGTATGCCGCTCACACATGAGAATCTCAGGCACCACATGCTGACACACGGAGTGTGTCGCGCCTGCTGAGGACATCACCAACGGCAACAACGAGAAGCTCGCGGCTCCTGATTGTGCATTACTACGAATTCCTCAAGACCCCCCAAGGAATATAAAATTCTTCCTTATCAAGGTTTAGGGTTTAGGGTGTAGGGTGTAGGGTGTAGGGTTTAGGGTTTAGGGTTTAGGGTTCCTTATCAGGGGCATAGGTCAGCGCATTCTCGAAGTGTATTAAAGCCAGGCCGTACACGCCTGGCACCTCGGGGGGAGGGCACTTCCGGAGCTGTGACCGAGGGCCCTTCTCTTGAAGAGCTGTGCAAAAACACGGAAAGACCAAAAGAAACCCGTCGAAGCCGAGCCGAAAAGAAACGAAGCGGAAGCGTGTGCTCCTCTCCAAAGTAGAAAGGATTGGATCGTGAAGACCGCGCAGCTGGATGCCGGCTGGCTCGGTGAGAAGATCGACCATCAGTCCTTGGTCCAGTCCATCGCATCTGGGCACCTTAAAAGCGCCCTGAAGATGGGATCTCTCAAAATGGGCATTTCCCAAACTAGGGTACTCTTCTCATACGCCAAACTAGAATAGATTCTTAAAGGGTTGAGGGCTCCAAAGATAGAATCTGCAAGGGTTGCTGGAGAAAGGAATGCCGCACACCCTCAAAAGAGGAACCCTTTCTTGTGAGATTTGCCCTGTTCATCCCCCCCCTGCACTTTGCACACAGGGATCCTGTGCCCGGAGCTTGAAAGCTGGAAGATCATGAACCCTAGATGCGTGTACCTAAACCCTAAACCCTAAACCCTAAACCCTAAACCCTAAACCCCAAACCCTAAACCCTAAACCCTAAACCCTAAACCCTAAACCCTAAACCCTAAACCCTAAACCCTAAACCCTAAACTAAGTGAGGGGTCGCTTCCGTCGAGCGACAGACCCCGAGCGCTCGGCCGAGGGCCTTACAGCCCGAGCGCCCAAGCGAAAAGAGAAACGGAAAAGGTGAGGGTTAAGCCTCACCGTCTGTCCTGGACAGGCCAACGGACATCGGCCTTTCTTACGACAACGTCAGTACTCGGCTAAGGGATGGCCGGCGCCCAGACCACCTTTAGCGTAGCTAAAGTATAACCCCAAAGCGTAACCCTTTGCTTCTGGAGGTCGGTTCAGGGTTTTGGGTTGAGGGTTTGTGGCCCCCCCCCCCCCGGCGGCCCCCTGGCCCCTGGTGGCTGGATTCCTGGAGCAGGAGGCTGGCCAGGGAATTTTGTGATTTTGGGTCGCCGGCCAAGGGCCCCGACCAACCCTTTCGGACCAACAAGCGCTTTCTTGAGACCAAACCTTGGAATTCCAGGGTCAAGGGCCTGGAAGGGCCCGCGTTCAGGGCTAGAGGGAGGCCCCCCGCGCCAAAGGGCCCCGCGCCAAGAGGGCCGTACCATCCAATGAAGAATGTTTTTTTTTACTGGAATGGATGGTTTTGTGCGCCCCTCCATTGTACACCAGAAGCGCCAGGAAAGCCCAGGAAGCCCCCAAGAGGCGCCAAGAGCCACCAAAAGGCTTCAAAAGCTTAAAAGGCCCCCTCAAAGAAGGGCACAAGATTTGTCCGTGCCCGCAATGAAAAATGCGATTTTTGAATATTGAAGATGGTTTTAGGCACCCCTGCCCGCAATGAAAAATGTTGTTTTTTAGTACTGAACTCGATGGTTTTGGGCACCCCTCCATTTCGGGTAAAGGAGCAGGAAAGCCCAGGAAGCCCCCAAATCAGCAAGGGCCTCTACGGGCCCTGACGTGCCGAAGGCCCGAAAAGGGGCCGAGTACCCCGAACCCCAGCTTAAACCCTAACACCGCAAAACCCTGCGAAGGCCTTCAAGCAAATAAGGGCCTCTACGGGCCCTAACGTGCCGAAGGCCCGAGGGCCGAGGCTACCCCGAACCCCAGCTTAAATCTAGTGATTGAAATACGCATTGGCGCAAAAATACTAATAGGTTCCCTGACCTTCAAATGAATAAAGCCTCTACGGCCCCTGACACGCCGAAGGTCCGAACAGGGCGAGAGACCCCAAGAGCCACCAAAAGGCTTCAAAAGGCTTCAAAAGGCCCCTAAAAGAAGGGGACCCCAGGATGCCCGTACCCGCAATGAAAACTGCGATTTTTTGGTACTGAAATCGATGGTTTTGGGCACCCCTCCATTTTACCCCGGAAGGGCCAGGAAAGCCCGGAAGCCCCCAAAAGGCCCCCCAGAGGACCTTAAAGAAGGGGAATCCAGGAGCAGGCACAAAGTGTTTCCCTCACCTTCAAATAAATGAGGGCCTCTACGGGCCCTGACACGCCGCAGGCCCGAAAAGGGCCGAGGCTAACCCCCAACCCCAGCTACAACCCTAACAGCGCAACTTTAAAAACATCAAAGCAAGCATCAGGGAACAAGAAAATAAATTCCATAAACCCTAGACCCTAATAGAGTATAGTTTGGGTGGCCGGGGTGGGTTGACGGGCAACGCGAGCGCGCGGCCCGGGGTGTTTCACACCCGAGCGCGCGCCCTCCCCTGACACACCCTAAACCCTAAACTTTGGCCCTAAACCCTAAACCCTAAACCCTAAACCCTAGACCTACCAAGCTGCGCGCAAGACGCCAAGGAGCAGCAGAAGGAGTTCGCCAGTCTCCAGGAGGAGTTCAGCGGGATGAAGGAGCTGCTGAAAGGCCCCTCCGAGACGATTTTCACATGGAGCAGGATGAGGGGTTTTTGTGGCAGCTTGAGAGAACTTCAGGGTTCTGAGCTTCTTGAGGGTGCTTGGTGACCACTTCTCACCGCAAGAAAAGGGGGACTTGGAGAGACCGATCTCCCGGAGAGGCCCAGAGTCGACTTTTTTTTTTCTCCCACGAGCTGGTGCGCAAGCGGATGACGTCTGAGTGTTTGGGGAGCTCAGGGTTTCGGAGGGGTTTGAGGGAGCTCAGGGTTTAGGACTCAGGAGGGTTTTGCCGGAAATGTCCGGCACTGTTTTGGGTGGGTTTTGAGGTGGCGACAAGAAGAAGCTGTTCCTGGAGATCAAGCAGCAGACCCACCAGCTCGAGTCAGAGAGCCTTAGCTCTCCTTAGGGGCTGGGTAGTTAACCTTTAAGCTTGTTGGTTACATACATATATATATATATATATTATCCTACTACAAGTCGTTAAAAGGTGCTCCCATACCTCGGGTATCACGGTGCGGCATAGCTTTGGCGTATGGCAGAAAGCGCGACCCCGCTGGAAGACGGGCCAGGGGCCAGGTTTCGCAAAAGGCAACGCTTGGTGTTGAGATGTGTTAAGGTTTTTTGGTCAGGCCGGAAGGGGCCGGAAGAGCCGCAAGTTGGACAACGACAAGTAGGTAGCAGGACGAGCTGCGCACCTCAACCAAAGACCTCTTTCTGCCATCTCCCAAACCCTGAACTGGGTTTCGAGTACTGCCTCCTCATGATTCTCAAAGTGTCTTGTTCAACCGGATGAGCCACACAGGTGCCTGCAAGCTACAAGAAGAGTGCATCAGAAAGGGGAGATCAAAATGCAGAATATGGGGCACACAAGAAAGGCCTAGGGGGGATTCTGCCCCCTGGTTCTTCGTAGGGAATGAGGGAATTAGGGCATGAGGGAATGAGGGAATGAGGTCCCCTACATAATCCCTGAGAGGGTATGATCTAGGGCCCCGAAGTCCCTCATTCCCTACTAAGAACTAGGGGGGTTTTCTTCTCCGAACCAAGCACTTGGAGGCTCATACTTATGACTTAGAACCATACTAGGGCACTTACTTGGCTTAAAAGTGGGTTTGAAGTACAGTCATAATTTCGACTTATTTGGTTAACAAGTACCATGAAACTCCAAAAAAAACCTAAATCCCATTGGTTAACAAGTACCATGAACCTCCCAAAAAAAAGGCTGAAAGGCTACGTCGACGGGGCCTCCTTCAGCCGCGCCTCGACCCTGGCAGCGAACGACGCCCTGGAGAAGTTCGTTGCCGATGGCCGCTTGGGCTTGGTGAGGTTCGGCCTTTGGGGAGTTTACAGGGGCTTGGATGGGTTTAGGGTTTAGGGTTTAGGGTTTAGGGTTTAGGGTTTAAGGTTTAAGGTTTAGGGTTTAGGGTTTAGGGTTTAGGGTTTACAGGGAGGCCCACGTTGAGGCGCTTGATGCTTCGTGATGAAGTAGATATTTAGATGCTCGGTTCTCCTCCATGGGGGTTGCTGTTAAGGAACCTAAGATGCGGCCGCAGTAGTACGGAAGGCTTTTTGCTATGTCGCACTTTGTGGCAGACGTGCCGGGGATGTTTCGCTGGTGTGTTGTGCGGATGGGTAAGTCACGGGTTCATTTAGGTCGGGCGACTTAGGTGCGAAGGTAGGTGATGATGTGCCTTGGCACTGCGTGCGCGGCACACTCTAGCACGAAACAAGCAGAGCGATTTTGCAGTGAGAAGATGTGAGGACCTTCCTGCAGCTAAGGCAAGTCGTTCGTTCAAGATGGCAACAACAGCCATCACGTGTTCCAAGCCTTCGACAGCCTGTTGACGTTGAGGTCCAAGCTCAGGCCAGTCGCAGTGTTCCTTTGTCATAGTGGGGTAGCATTCTACATGTCTAAGGGTACTTAAGCTCAATAAGAAAGAGACATGTTTCAAATTTTGAATACCATCCCAACCATGAACTAGGTTCGGGGGATGGGGTGAGTTTAGAGTCATATTTGCCCATGTCTTGTCTTGTTCTGGTGTGTTCAGAAAAGCTCCAGGTCGCGATCAGGAACGGAGTTGTTGTCGGGTCGTCCCGGTGCTTCCTAAACCCAAAACTTTAAACCCTAAACCCTAAGCCCTAAACCCTAAACCCGGTCAAAGGTCTCCAAAACACACCTGGGGGGGGGGGGGGGGGACCCTAAACCCTAAACCCTAAACCCCTCTTCTTGCCAGGAGCGCGTCGGACAAGCGCTCGAAGGTCGAACACGTGGCGCAGCCCCTTGGGCCTCTGGAAGCGACAAAACACCTGTCCAAGGAGGTGTTTAGGGTTTAGGGTTTAGGGTTTAGGGTTCAGGGTTAAAAGGACCCCCAAAAGGACTCAAAGCTCACGCAACTGAACCACTTTAGCTGGCATGCTGTTGTAAATAATGCACCCCCGAGCCTCCAAAAGCCTCGCCTGCAAAGCAGCCCAAGCCTCATGTTTGCCAAGCTGTTGGGGAGCAACAAGCAGCTCGAAGGTCGCTGATGGTTTTCCCACACTAGGACCCAGGGTAACCACTTATTCCCCTTTTTTAGGCTTTAGGTTCCCTTCTAATCCCTTTAAACCAAGAAGGGTCCCCTTTTTACTCCTGGGTCTGGTATAAAATGCGGGCGATTGTACTCCGTCTTCTTTGCTTGGAAAACGGAGCCCAAAGGCCTGCATTGGTCTGTAGCTCCTCGAAATAGAGCTCAGGAAAGGCATAGGGGGATCACGGTGTGCCGATTGGGAAGTTCCCCCTGATACTAGCAGTCCTTAATAGAGATTATTGTACGGCATATCATAGTTCGTATTAAGGACTGTTAGTTTTAACGGGCGTCATGGTGTGCCGATATCATCCGTATGCACCGCGAAGAGCTGTTAAAGGAGAGAGCAAAGCTGGTGCTCTGGTGTCAGGTCTCCAGTCCGTCCATGGGCATCTCATGCGCCACTGAAAAACCCTCATCCCAAAACCCTAAAACCTAAATCCAAATAAACCCTAAACCCAAATACACCGTAATATCAATAAACCCTAATCACAAGGCCTAATAAAACCCTAAGCCCTATAAGCTCCAATAAACCCTAAGCCCTTGAGTCTCAGGTCCGCCGCCGAAGGAGCCCGGCAGATGCACCCATGACAGCATTCAGAGGGGGGCTCTTCCCCAAACCAGGGGCGGGGGGGTGCTGTTTGGCCCCCCCTTAGGGTTGAGGGTTTAGGGTTCAGGGTTTCGGGTGCTCATTGTAGGAACCCCCCCTACAAGAAGGGGTACCCCCGCAACACTGTTCCCAAGTCGCTTTGCCGAGGGGTCGATCACCTGTATACCCCTAGAGGGGTGGGGGGGGGGATTCCTCTGGCCGTCCGACGCTTGAAGGCAAGAGATGCTCAAGGTGCAGCGAGACACTTTGGGAATTTACCAGATGCAGCTTGGCTCAGCGTGTCGGTTCGCATCGTTTTGCGCCTTGTGGTTTTTGGTTGAAAAATTCGAAGAGCTTTTAATGCACTGGCTTCAATCTGTGCTACTGAGCAAGTCCAGCCCACTGTGGCCAGCAGCTTGGTGCAGTACGCGCTACATGCATATATTTAACGCGGAAAACATTCTAAACTTGTGATATGTATGTATGCTATTATATGTATATATATATATATATAGATAGATAGATAGATATATGCATATATATATATATGTATATCTTTATTTATCTATCTATAGATATAGATATATGTATATATGTATACACACAAGTAAAGGGGCGAAAGAGCTCGGCAGAGGGCTGCGACTGCCAGGAGGAGCAACTCAACAAAGGCGGCTCGCCAGAGGCCCGCAGGGCACGGCGGGGTTCAAGTGGGTCAAGTGTTAGGGTAGCCCTAAACCCTAAACCGTAAACCCTAAACCCTAAACCCTAAACCCTAAACCCTAAACCCTAAACCCGAACCCCTAAACCCTAAACCCTAAATCCTAAACCGTACCAGTGTGCTGGTCTCGGTTGACTCTGGGGAGTCCTTGCTTACGACCTACCTGATGGTTGTTTGGGCGACGGCCATGTTCTACTTAGTTGAGGCCCGGCCCCAAAACGTTTTTCTTGATCCTCGCCTGGTCCGTACTTCGACTGAGTCAATCTCGCTGGCCCCGGCGGGGCCCGGATCCTCTTAGGGTTTGGGGTGGAACTGCTTCGGGTTTCGAGTGACAGCCTTAGGCCGGGGTGCAGAGAGAGGGGGGGTGGAAGTACAACCGTTTGGGAAAAGGGTTTTGGGCACGTATTTGCATTTCTTGGTGGTGGTCAGGTCGATCCCATGTGACTTCAGCGCTTCACGTGAAGTATCCGAAATCTACCTGAGTGTAAGAACTCCTGAGTCTCGAAATTCGCGGGCGTGAAACAATGAGGGGCATGGACGAAGAGAGAGGAGACCCCGAGAGGGGTCCATCCGTAGTACCATTCTGGAATTAGGTACGAAAAACCATATGAAATAGGATTTTTGGGGAACATATAACTCCATAAAATGGCACTACAGATGGACCCTCTGGAAGACAAAGGGGGCAACATGGTGTGCAACTGACAGGCAGGGCATGGAGATGCGGGAGCGCCATGCGATTCTCTTGGACATGGATCGCCACTTGGATTCAAGGACTTCCTCTTTTGTGTTATAGTTATATCTTTCTTTGTTTCTTTATTGACTTCTTTCGTTCTTCCATTCTTTCCTTCTTTCTTTATTTTTGTATTTATTTACTTATTGCTTCTTTCTATCTTTCTTATTTCCTTCCTTCCTTTCTGTCCGTTCCTTCCTTTCTTTTTTTCTTTCTTTCCGTCTCTCTCTCTCTCTCTCCCTCTCTCTCTCTCTCTCTCTCTCTCTCTCTCTCTCTCTTCATCCTATCACCCGCAAAGCCTGTCAACACCTTCCGAAGGCCACCACGAAACCGAGGAATCTGGTGGAAGATTCGAGGCGTCTTCGACGACTACATGGACGTGGCCGAGGGCGAGATCCGAAGTCCCCCGATCCGAAGTCCTCGACCTCCAGAAGCCCTTATAACCTCTCCACCTTTAGGGCTTAGGGCTTAGGGCTTAGGGCTTACGGCTTAGGGCTTAGGGCTTAGGGCTTAGGGTTTAGGGTTTAGGGTTTAGGGTTTAGGGTTTAGGGTTAGAACGCTTCGAGCAGAGGCACAGACGCTGTTCAGCGGCTCTTAAGTCTGAAGCGCTCTTCCCACACCCGGTTCTTTCTGTTCGTTGTCGCACAAGACTAAGATTCCGCCGTGTCATGAGCTCAGGCTATGAGTTTGGATCGCACGCGCTTGCGCAGTACGAGCGCTGTGCCATGACGGACATCGGGTGGAGACACGTAAGTGGGCTCTGTGCAGAGGGATTCGCCGGAGTGCCCTATAGACCTCAAACCCTACACCCTAAGTTTTTAGCGTTCAAGGCTTCGGAGGCTTCGGCGTCACGGCTGCACGTCGCAGGTCCATTTTTGGGTACGTCTTTCGCAACATTGTGGCTTCATGCTCCGCATGTCTGGCTCACGTGCTGACCTGGTCTCGGATACTGTAGTAGGGGAGAGGAGGAGTTGGAGGTCTTATGCCTGTTTCTGTAGCCAGCCCGCCACATTCTCCCAGATTCTCCAGAACTTCCCCAGCCTTCCTGGCGAAGTCGAAGAAAGTGTAGGCTGTCCTCTACGGGTGATGCGAGCCCATTTTTCTTTCAAGCGGGACATGGCGTGGCATGCACTAACCTAGCTCCGTCTGTACACCTTCATCGAGCCCTGTTGGGCACCGCACTTCTGTAGCTGCTTTTCAAGCCACCAATGAGATCCAATGAGCTTTCGCTCTCGAACCCTCAGGTCCATGTACCCATATGGCACATGTTTGGGCCCCACAGCTACTGTGGAACGTATATGAAGCAGGGTATATATTTCTTGTACCCCCAAAAGGACACCAGGTATGTACACTCACCAATATTAAAAAGGAACCTTATATACACTCACCAACAACAGTAATATAAACCCTGCTTCATATGGGAATAGGTACAGTTATAAGTACAGTTACCCTAAACCCTAAACCCTAAACCCCAAACCCCGTCTGGGTACATGGACCCTTTGGGTAAGCCAGGCACCAAAGACTTCCAGAGCCTCCTGGCCATCTACAAGCAGGCAATGGCAGCCACCGACCGTTCTCACAGGCGCCAAGTTTAGGGTTTAGGGTTTAGGGTTTAGGGTTTAGGGTTTAGGGTTTAGGGTTTAGGGTTTAGGGTGGTCCAAGCCCAAGCGGTCCTCATCAGCTTCCAAAAAGTCCCAGGCGAAAGTTAACGTGGTAGCCCAGTGCCACCCGTTTTTTTCTCCCCACCACTTTTCGTTCTGGGTCCGTTCTAAATCTAAAGTAGCCAACCCCAAAAAGGGTTTAGGGTTTAGGGTTTAGGGTGACTGGGCTACCAAGTTAATCTTAACGCTGCGCGACCCGCCTCGGCCGGGGCCTGCTCAGCTGCGAGGCGCTTGCGTTTAGGGTTTAGGGTTTAGGGTTTAGGGTTTAGGGTTTAGGGTTTAGGGTTCATGCGCACACGGTTGGCGATGGGGGTGGGGGATGAGAGGTGGGGTGTATGCTTCGTGCTGCCCATAAAGCTAGGGCCGAGGCCTCAGCGGATTGAGCCTCCGGCTATGCCTCTCGAATGCAGTGCCACGTTCTGCGCGGCTCACGATGAAAAAGCCAAAGACCTTCAAACACTCTCGCGGGCTCTTCCTGTAGCAACATGGGTTTCTACATGTTCCCTCCCCCTCCACCCCAAGAACCATAATGATGCCACGGGAAAGCTTTTGTGGCAGGGAAACCAGCCAACCCAACAGCTTTAAACGGGTACATCCCTGAAGCCCTCGAAACACCTGGGAGGGCGCTGAAAAGCGCGTGGCGCCATGGCTCGAACCTGGTGGGTGGCCTTGGCGGCACGCCGAAGAGGGCTTGAGCTTGGTCCTACAAACGGAACAACAAAGCATTCGCCGCTGCTGTTCCTGATATAATGTGCATGTCACCATGCGTTCATTCCCATTAAACAGCAAAGGCTGCAGCACACATGCACGCATTGTGTGGAGCGGTACTGCTAGCCTGTCTTGCTGTGTAGAGTACACCACGACTGACCCTTCAACTGTTTCAACAAAACTTGAGACCCCAAAGCCCTAAACCCTTGTTTCCCCTTTGTCGGAGGGAGCGACCTTACACGTGTCCGCCTAAAATCCTGAAATCGAACGCATCGTCAAGAAACGGAAGGCAGACTTCGAGTGTTGTCGATGTCGGTTTGCATAGGGGTCGGGGCATCGTTGGACTTTCGAGGCCAGGATACGGGAAGCTACTGCCTGTGTTCTGGGCTTCTTTTTTTTGAGCTACTGTCAGAGAATGTGTCTTAATCACGTGAGTTGAGGGGTGTGATCCTGGTTGCGATCAATAACTGTGCCGCGTGATTTTCCGTAATGTTGCAAGCGATCTTGACAAGCTGAATCAGGGCGCCTGCATAGCGTCACGGAGAAACAATCCAGAGCAACGGTTTGCGCAGGTCTGTATTCAGTTTCTCGTCTGGACCTTGTTGTTTGGGCTGGCGAGCTTCCAGCAATAACCCTTGCAATTCCATTGGCAATGGCAGTAAGAAGCCCATAGAAAGCACAGATGAGGAGTTCAGCAGAGGGCTCGATGCCAAGGCGAGCTGGCATCTCACATTGCCGACGGCGAGGCTTTCGAGACATTCATGCGCCAAGAAGGCGCCACAAAATGGGGGGCTCCACATACCAAAAAGGCCCCCGTTTCTGAGACTCTAAGGTCCCTATCGAAGAACTCAGCGCACCACTCGTTGATTGTATTGGCTAGAAGCAAAGAGCTGACTTCTTCTTTTTAGTCCAGCTACTTGTCCACGAGTTGCCTTGCCGTAGACACCAAAGCTTTTCCCAAGTTCTGCGCACTGCGCACCGTACCCCGATCTCGCAACCGAAGCCATGCGAAGCCAAGCACTCCCTGGCCACACGAAGCTTTGAGTATCTTGCCGTTAGCTTCCCCGCAAAAAAGCCCAAGCCCCACATAAGCCCGTTCAGGGTATTGGGGTTTGGGGGTTTGGGGGTTTAATTATGGGTTCAGGGGTTTAGGGGTTGCATAGCACGGGTTCAAAAATGGTTTCGGGGTTGAGGTACCTTAAACAGAAGGTAGCTGGGGAAAGCTGGAGCCCTGAGCCTGTGACCCTTTAGGGCTCGTGTTGACACGAGGATGCGAGTCCCCGCTGGCACAGCAGACCCTGGAGCAAATGAGGGATGCCCTTCTTGGAATGAGGAGACCGATTTGGGGGGGGGGGGGGGTGGGGGGGGGGGAGGGGGGGGGGGGGGCGGGGGGTGGGGTTGGGGGGTTGGGAGGGAGATCTTAGGTTTAGGGTTTAATTTTACCGCTGCGCCACATTGCGCCACCCGCCTCGGCCTGGCCCAGCGCAGCCCTCTCAGCATGTCGTCCGCAACCACTGGGTGGGGTTGTGGGGTGGGGGTTGGGGGTGGGGGTTGGGGGTTGGGGGTTCGTTTGGGGGGTGGTGTGGGGTGCCTGCTTTGTGCTACCCATACACCACGGCCCAAGGGGCCTCAGCGGATTTGGGCGGGGAGTCTTTGACAAGGCTTTTGAGGCTTTTGGGGCTGGGGCGCGGAGGTTTCTGTCGGGGTAGTGGGATAGCAGGGAGAGGGGGGCCAACATCTTCAGCCCACGATGACGGGGGCCAATTGTGGAAAGCATCTTTAGGCGCAGGATCCACAGAGTCGTCTGCACTTAAGAACTCGGCAGGTCTCTGCGAGAACTGGAAAAAGGGGATCAAAACAAGGCTTCTGAATCTTGCGGTTATCCCTGTTATCCCCTGAGGATGCTGTATGACCGCTTCCGTGTTTCGGGACTTCCGATGCCCGACATCCAGGTTGTGGAGAGCGCGGCAGCTCGGTGAATTTCTTAGCCCGCGAAAGGCCTCCCCCCCCCCCCCGTCCTTGGGACCCCTCTGTTTCGCAAAGGTCGCTCATATGTCTTGTCTCCCAGCTGAGAAGTGGAGAAAGCAAGCATCAGAAATCTGGTCCCCACCCTTGTCCTTGCCAGCTCCTGTTGCTTAAGCCTTGGTAGCCCAGTAGTGCCCTTTTGCTCTTTTTTTGGGTTCGGTTCCCTTGCAAAGTCACCAACCCAAAAAGGGGTACCCCTATTGCAACATTGTTATTGGGCTACCAAGTAGCAGAGGGTCGTGTGCATCTTCGGAGCAATCGTTGGATGGGGCCATTCCTGGGGTCGATCTCACCCCCTTGTAGATATCGTTCATGGCCATCTTCTTTCTAAAGTCATTTTGCATGAGACTTCGCTTTCGAGTACGTTTTCCCGAATGGACCCCTTTGATAAGTGTTCATGGGTTGTAAGAAAGGCGAGGAAAAATAGGGTCCCACCGTTGTTCGTTCCTGAGGCTGAGCGCACACGGTCCAGCTTCAGCAACGCCATGGAGACAGCCTGTCAGATCAAAGGACGTTCGGCCGTTCCTCCCTACATCTCCTTCTTGCCCATGAGGAGGGTTGTCTTTTGGGTGTCTTGTGGGTTCGTCCCCGGACACACCAGGATAAGACCCATATAGGGGCCTTGTGAAGGACAGCTGGCGTTCTACTTCCTGCCCAGTCTGGATGACCAGAAGTCTCTGAAGGAAGCCGAAGCCATGGAAGCAGCCTTGTAGTGAAGAGAACAAAGATGTGTACAGAGAGGTCCCAGTCACCATGTCTCACAGGTGCACATGACAGTGCGCTTTTTGTATTTTGAGTGGAACGAGTGGCGAGGCAAGCCTTACAGTCCCCCCGCGTCACCCCGGAGCCCCCGGCACAATGCACGATGACTGCGGCGGCCGTTGCGGCATGGAAAATGTGGGAGCATGGGGTTCATGCTGTGGGAGCGCGTTGGGTCAAGAGGTTCTGCGCCATACACACACAAGCGTGGCAACACGGAGTGGAGTCGTGCTTCGCGTGGGTTCAAGAGCTCTCGTTGGGTGCACTATGGCGCGCTGTGGGGCCTTTTGCCCTCCCAGGTACTCATCTTCACGACGGCCACATACCAAAAATGTCCCCTTCTTCCTACAAATTCCCCCAGACTGAAACTGGCCTTCGGGGTTTGGTGTTGTTCATGCGCCTCGACACAGCAAAGCTTTATCCGCGCAGAAGGTAGAGGCTAGCCACACCCGTTCTAGGGAGGGCAGTTGAGGGCCGCGACCGTCCGGCATGCGGGGCCTGCCACTCACACTGCGTCTCCGTGAAAGCGCTCACGGGGCCGAACCGACACCGGTTGTGGTAGCCTTGTCAGCACTTGGTTCATGGTACTGATTGTATCCGTATTCGGGCACTTAAGGCAGGTTGGCCGACGAACCCCGCTTTTGTTCTTGCCAAATGCCGTGTGCGCGTGCTCTCTTCGCACTGCCGCACTGCTGCAGGGTCCATGCTTGGCATTTCCAGGGCGCACGCGCCTCACCCTAAACACTCAACCTGCAACCATACATGTCGAACCGGTCGCACGGCACTTGGCTCACAGCAAAGATCTTTCCGTTTCTTGACAAAGACATCTTCACAAAGCTGAAGAGGCCACTGGATCAACGGGGAGGGGGCGGGGTTTTGGGTTTCCTGGGCGCCTGTTTGGTTCAAAGTTCTATGGATTCTATGGCCCCCCACCACAAATCCCAAATATATCACCCTCTCTGACCTCCATGACAGATTCAGGAGGTTTGGGATTGCTGGAGCTGTCAGGGTCCCAAGTGCCAGGAGCCGCTTGGAAGATGATTGCTGGGAAGGATAAATAGTTTGGGTATTAAGTATTGTTAATTGGTTCCTGAATGTTCCTAATTTAGGCACTTGTCCTTCAAGGTGAGTTGCAATCTGCCAGAGGACGAGTGCTGGAGCCGCGAGCAGCGTGCACACCGTTTGCTTCAACACAAAAACGAAACGACGGCGCCAGTCTACGACTCAATGTCCTAGTGGTCCAAACGCATGGACGGCCACGGAGTGCGCAAAAATTTCTTTGAAGATGCCGCATGCATCTGGGGTTTCGAAGCCTCACAAAGAACGCTCATGAATCCTCACTGTGAAGTGTTTCGAGCACCCCCAGGAAGCCCAAGCCCTAAATAATGAAGCTACTAAGTGGAGCCCAAGGCCACCTTCGGCCCCCTCACATCCTCTCCAAGCTTCCACTTAAAACGGCTTAAGGACGGAACCGTAACCTGCCTTAAGCGCTCGAAAACACACGACCCCCTCAACCCCGTCAACCCGTCAACCCCCCTAACCCCCCTAACCCCCCTAACCCCCCTAACCCCCCTAACCCCCCTAACCCCCCTAACCCCCCTAACCCCCCTAACCCCCTAACCCCCCTAACCCCCCTAACCCCCCTAACCCCCCTAACCCCCCTAACCCCCCTAACCCCCCTAACACCCCTAACACCCCTAACCCCTAAACCGAAACCCGCAAGGGCCCACCCTAAACCCTACACCCTACTTCAAAAGAGGAGATGGCTCGCTTTGCAGCCATCGTGGCGACACTCGCCTCTACGGCTTCGGCCGCCCGCATGGCGGAACCGGCCTTGAAGAAGCGAGGGGAGGCCGAGGGCATTGGCTTTGGAAGGGTTTAGGGTTTAGGATTTAGGGTTTAGGGTGTAGGGTTTAGGGTTTTGGATTTAGGGTTTGGGGTTTAGGGTATTGGGTTTGGGGTTTGGGGCTGCTTGGGCGATCTAGTGCTTTAGCGAAGCTAGCAGGTAGTGTTTAAGTGGGAAGGCTTGGGGTCCCGAAACCAAAAAGCTGCATGGCTTAACAAGCTTCAAGGATTTCAGGCCTGCGGTCAAAGGAGTAGGATGTCGACCGATTGAGCAGCTGCTACTGACAAACCCCGAGCTCGATACAAGAGAGCTGCAACATATGGGAAGCTCCTGCAGTGGCATATTGAAATACTGCTTTCCGGAAAACCCAAGCGAGCTGCAACATGCAACTCAGCAATCACTCATGCATGCAGGTATGTAGCACCACCGTGAGGGGACTTGGTCTGGCGGAGCAGGGTAGAAGAAGCAACTGAAGGAGGTGCAACCCCCTAATTGTCAGGGACAGCGGCTGTCCGTATCAGCATTGCTATTGAGCCGTAAAAGCTCTGTAGCCTTGCTGCAGGTACTTGGAGGTTCATGGTACTTTTATTAGCCAGTTAGAACTGCACTTATGACCCACTTATAGGCCCCTTAAGTGCCCCATTATGGTCACAAGTACAGTTATAATTCGTTAAGAAGTACCATGAGCCTCCAAGTATCAGGGTTCAATAGGCCGTCCTGCCCGAGCCGCAGGACTAAGCTTGAGAGTGGGAACAAAGAGGCCCTGAAACCCCAGAGGGTCGAAATCTCCCGCGAAGGTCTGCGAGACCAATGAACAGTGCACTGCAGATCTCCTGTGTATGGTGGGTGAGGCAAACTACACATGCCGACGCTTGCGCAAGGGAATGGGATTTAGACCCTTACAACAAGGGGTCGAAACCAAAGACATGTGCGGGTTCAGTGCAGGGGTTGGTCAAGGGGTGTTTAGGCGAAACGGTTTCACGGGTTCGGGGTCAGACTGTGCATTTTGCTAGCTGTTTTGGGGTTGACGTTGTAGCTGTGGACGTCCTCTAGTAACTCCAGTAAATCTTGAGGTCTGTGTTTGGAACTCGTGTTTCCTGGCAGTTGTTTAGTCTTCAAAGGAAATTGCGATTGAATGGCAAACTTTCGCTGTAGCCTCGAAACTCACACTGTCTAAGCCCTAAAGCCCTAGCTGAACCCAAAGCTGTAAACCCTAAACCCTGAACCCACGGACTCGCCCCAGCTGTGCAGCAGGAAAATACCTTAAACCCTCAACCCTAAAACCTAAACCCTGAACCCTAAATCCTAAACCCTAAACCCGAAAGAGACTTTTTTATGGGGCTCAGGAGAGAGGCATTCCAAGATCGCAGGAGAGCCCTGCAAAGCCGGGGCAGAGTGCCTTGTGTGGTTTCAAAAGGTTTAGGGTGTAGGGTTTGGGCTTAAGGGGGCTGGGGATTTAGGGCTCAGGAGGGTTTAGGGGGTTCCCATATGAGTGAGAGTTGAGGTTTATTGAAGCCATCCCCCAACATCCGGAAACCCCCAAGTGCCAGAGAATGTCTCCATCTTCATTGCATCGAAACCCTGCACCTGAAATTGGAATCCATCACCAACCTGGTATAAAGCTAAGGGTTTCTGCCCTCATGTACACCTTCTACAGGCCCTGTAGGGTTAATGAAGGATCTCAACGGAGTTGCGACTAAGGGTTTAGGGCACCCACTCTGCGGGTTTAGGGACCCACTCTGCCGCACCATGGTTTTCAGCTTATGTTGGGGAGGGTGGGCACGGTTGATGGTTCAGAAGAAGCCCATGCGCGATTCAGGGCTTCGGGTTTGGGGATGTTCCCCCTCATACAAACAGTCCGTTGATTATAGTACCCCCCCCCCTATTATCATCCCTACCCAGGAGCTGCTAGTGAACATCCCGAGGCTTAGGGTTACTGAGCCCCGAGCTGATCGGAGAGCATCCTGGCCAGCAAGATTTAGGGTTTAGGGTTTAGGGTTTAGGGTTTAGGGTTTAGGGTTTAGGGTTTAGGGTTTAGGGTTTGGGAAATGCCAGGTGCGTGGAGGGAACGCGGTGCGTCGGCAACGACCAGCATCTTGTCTTACAGCCAGTCAGAACTGTTCTCCCTTATTTTGTGGGACTGTCAAATTGTGTTCCCCTGAACCCGATAGGGTAGGGTTATGACCCTTAACCCCTAAACCCTAAACCCTAAACCCTAAACCTGTTCGTTCCTAGCGGTTGCTGGAGAATCCAGGGGTCGCTCGTGCAGACCTGGACTGGGGGGCCAACTGCACAAGGACCGACTTGGAAAGTTCCGGGATCCTTACGGCTTTAGGGGTTTGGGGAGCTTCAAAGGGTTGAGGGTTTAGGGTTTAGGGTTTAGGGTTTAGGGTTTAGGGTTTAGGGTTTAGGGTTTAGGGTTTAGGGTTTAGGGTTTAGGGTTTAGGGTTTAGTAAGTTTAGGGTTTAGGGTTTAGGGGGTTTCTAGGGCTTTTAGGGTTCCCCGCTTGGGCGTTCGGGCTACCGCCAGTGGAGGCCCCATCTCCTTCTGGCGTGCGATCCGGCAGCTCTAGGTAGCCCTAAACCCTAAACCCGAAACCCTAAACCCTAAACCCGTAGCCATTTTGGCTCAAGTTCTCCTGCTCAAACAATCCGAGTTAGGTTTGCCCTTTATGGCTAGTGAAGGTGCCGCTCGCAATGCCACCCACTCGTACCAGGAAAGGATTTCAGAACATCTACACGGATTTGACCCAACCCACCGACGATGCCACCGAGGACATTCGCGAGCTGTACAGCTTCATTGGTCTTCATGGCGGTCGGGTACTTCACGAGCTCAACCTAGTGTACGCTGATTTCATGAACAGCCTGGCTTATTCGGTGCAATCACGTGTTCTTCAAGAGTACGTTCGTGGTGCACTTGCCAACAACGTAGTTGTGGTTCCCGCTGCAGGTGGTGGACCCCCTATTCACAGACTCCAGGCACTTAGCATAGCTGTCATTGGTTTACATCTTCTTAGCCTAGTTGATGACTTCAAGAATGTTCATGGCGACATCTACGTTCTTCGCAGTCGTTTGCAAGCCAACTTCGTGATACGTAGGGCTATGGAGTGCTCCCTAATGACTGATACCACGCTGCACCTCCTGCTCCTTGACTGGAAGCAGGCATTCGACTCCCTAGACCACACCGCCATGTTGGAAGCTCTCAAACGCTTAGGTGCCTCAACTAGAATGCTCCACGCGATTCGTTCCATATATGCCAACCCGATTGTTTACACGCGCGGATTCGGGGACGCGAAAGCGAAGGGCAAGGTGGGGGCGGGTATAAGGCAAGGCTGCCCGTTGAGCCCTTATCTTTTCATAATCTTTTAATAGCTGTTCTAACTGCCATCATGTCGGATGTTGATGATATACTTCTGCAGCAAGGCACCCCTACTAACATCTGGTCTACCCAACGCCCCACCTATGATATTGAGTACGCGGATGACACTTTGCTCATGGGCTTGGCCACACCGCAACTCCAAAACATGCTGTCTTGCCTCGAAGCAATTGCGGCGGAGTATGGTATGAGGCTAAATCAATCTAAGACGGAAGTTATCGAACACCCCAAATCGGGCTCAGCAGGACTCCAGTTCAGCGATGGTTCGGCAGTCAAGACCACACCGCAAGCAAAATATTTAGAATCACAGCTCTCCTGGATCAAACCCTTTGATGTAGCTTTCCAACATAGGTTGATCTTAGCAGAGGAAGCCTTTAAGAAGCTCCGACTGGTCTGGAACAGCTCCATACCACTCAAAGAACGACTAACAGTCTGTCATGCTACATTCCTGCCAGTTCTTCTGTACGGACTTGAAGCACTTACTCTAACGGATAAACAGCTCCACAGGGTTGACGGCCAGTAGTATAGGTTCCTTAGGCGAGCACTTACAATTAAGGCATCTTATTACTCACGAATCCCAACTCCGAGGTTTGGAGACGCGTCCAATACCCTAGATTGCCCTCACAATTCCTTAACGACGCCCAGTACAGATACCTAGTTAGTGTCTTTCAACAGGACAGGGATCAGATCACACATGACATTGTATTCGGGGCCTCGTACAAAGATAGAATTCTCCTCAAAGGTAAACGTCGTGGTATGCAATTTCCATACTACTTAGAAGTAGGCGCTGCCAGGCATTTCCCTCACCTTAAGCCGGACCACACCGCAAGGATTAACCCGCACGAACACTACCATCGAATAGCACGTGCGGTTAAGAGCCCTTCTTTTGAGCTGGCGCCAAAGCGCGCGACGACGCGCGCAAGGCCTCCCTAAAAAAACCCAAAACCCTAAGCGCCTCAAGTCCAAGTCTTGCATTCCTCTTGCCGGCTTCCTCTCGTTCGCTCAAAGGGCTTCGGCTCAAGCCTGGCTACGGCGGCCCTTGTGCAGAAGGGTCCAGTGGTGACTTTTTAGGGATCGCGGGCCCAAAAGTGCCTCAAAAACACTTAGGGCATCGCATTCAAGGGGTTTAGGGTTGCTTAAGGTTTAGGGTTTGTATTTCTAGGGCTTGAGGAGTTTGAGGAATTGAGTTTTCAGAGTGTTGGCATCCAGGATTGGGTGGCCCAACATTTCCTTGCAGGGTTCAGGGCTTGACACCCACTGTCCCCATGCAGGGCTTAGGGTTTCACAACTTTTGAGACCGCCGCCCAACATCTCCTCATGGGGTTCACTGCCCCCTGCTTGCAGCCTTCGGGGCAGGGGAGGGGCTGAGACACAAAAGAACGTTGAGGGTCCCCGAGTCTCGTCTCACCCAGAGGAAGTGGTCCCCGTTCTCAAGCGAGTGCTGGGAACAGTATCGTTCGGTTGCTTGCCGGAAGCTGGGCCGCAAATGATCTGAAGTTGCAGGGAAGCCAGTTTTGGGGGCACCTGGAGCCCTGGAGTGCTTTTTTATTGTTTTGGAAGTTTTTTTGTTTTCCCTTATTTAGGTTTAGGAGGATCATGTTCAGGAAATTTTGCAAAGGGTTTTAAAGGGCTATCCTAGCTGAGTTTGTTTGGTTCCAGTGTAGTGTAGGGTTGCTCCGTTTGAATCGAAGGTCGGTGTGGTCTGTGGAGGGCTTGGTAGGGAGCTGACTTTTGCCGTGCCTCTTTTTGTTCAACGGCCCGTAGAAAGTTGGAGAACCCTTCGTGTGACATCTGAACTGTTGTCGTCACTCGCCCCTACAAAGTCTAAACTTGGCCCCTTATAGTACCCCCCCCCATTACAATCCCCATAAAGGACTGTCAGTATAAGGGGGAACGTCCCAAACCAAAAACCCATGTATCGAGGCAGGACTCCACTGGCCGCCATCGCTGCTGCATCAAGGGCCTCATCGACAGCGAAAGTTCGGGCAAGAGCGAGAACAGGCCCTTGCGCCTCGGCACCAGCTGGGCACAAATCCGAAGCCCTAAGCCCTTAGAGAGTTCCCTTAAAAGAAGTGAGCTTAGCTGCGCCCAGAAGTCCACTTTTAGTTCCCGCAAGGTCGTTTGCGTTATCTTCGGGGTGATGCAGGCAGCTGTGCCAATCATGAACTAGTTTGTGGTCACTACACCCTAGGCCAGCGTGGTCCTGGAAGTTGCTTCAAGTGCCACTATGTGCTTCAGAACCCCCAAAAAGGACAGATAAGTAATTCCCTTTTTACCCTTATAGGGAAGAATGTTTTTTTTTGCAATTTGTTGGAGGTTCTGAAGCAAACAGTAGAAGTAAGCAAGTGCCTCTGTCAGAGTGGACCCTGAAGTCTTCTTTGCCATCTGCGAGAGTGAGCGAAGCCCCGAAAACCTTAAAGCCAGAAGCACAAAACCCTAAACTTGGGATTTTCCCCCCTTCTACTAACAGTCCTTAATGGGGATTATAGTTCCCCTTATTATCGTCCCTATTAAGGATTGTTAGTGTAAGGGAGAACATCCCAACTTAACCCTAAACCCTATAAACCCTAAACCATACGAACCGTAGGGGGGGGAGGGGAGGGGGCGTTGGAAGATGCCCTCCACCTTTTTGTCAAGGACGACAGATCCTTTGATCCTGTGAGGGAGTTGTAGGAGACCAGCTGAGTGGTTCGACCAGCTATGCGGGTGCCAAAAAACCCTAAGCCCTGAATCTTAAACCCTAAGCCGCCGTAGGTTCAACCACTGAGGGCTCAGAGCTTAAAAAGGGTCCCGAAGCCCTAAATCCTAGACGCATAACCCTATACATCCTCAAACTCTAAATCCCGTAAAGCCCAAAAATCATAAAGCCCTAAAAGGAGATCGTGTCACCCAGAACCTTAACAGGGTCCCCTGACTGGACCTTTCACTGGCCGCGGTGCCTCACCTTGTGCCTCAGTGTGAGCGGCTTTAAAACCTAAACCCTAAACCCTAAGCCCTAGACCCCAAACCCTATAAACCCGAAACCTTCCCTAAACACCTCCAAGGAATGGGGATGCCTCCACTTGCTGCAGCGGCAAGACGCTCCCTGGTCCTCATCTTTGTGTTTGTTTCCCCTGGCGGAACTGGTTCTAGGTACACCCTTGAGGCATGTTGTATTTTCCCTTATCTCTGGGTTTAAGAGGATCATATTCAGGAATATCTCTGGGTTAAAGAGGATCATATTCAGGAGTATCTCTGGGCTAAAAGAGGATCCTATTCAGGAATATCTCTGGGCTAAAGAGGATCATATTCAGGAATATCTCTGGGTTAAAAAGAAGATCCTATTCAGGAAGACTTTTCAGCAGGGTTTTTATAAGGGCCATCCTAGTCTTATCCATCCTGGGGGAGCTTGGATTTAGCAAGCTTTGGGGGCATGTAAACTTCATGTTCCCCTCCCTCCTATCGTAACAGTTTAGGGATTATCGTACCCCCCTATTCCAACCCCAATTTAAGGACTCTTAGTAGAAGAGGGCACACCCCAAGAACTAGATCTTTGGGGTGAACTGATTCCATTTGCGGTGCGAAGGTTTAGCAAGCTTTGAGGGGGCATTAAGGGTTTTGGGCCGTTTGGGGGCCCTTTGGGGGAAGGTTAGCTAATCATCGGCAAGGGCGTACACGGCGCCTCCATGCCTGCCTTTAAGGGTTTAGGGTTTAGGCTTTAGGGTTTACTTTGGAACCCTATCAAGGCTTGAATTTGGAGGTTGCGATGCTAGAGTTTGGGCTTCACAGTTTAGGGTTTAGGGGTGTAGGGTTTTTAGAAGTCCACCCCGCCACAAGAAGCCGTGAATCTCACCAGGCCCCCGACAGGCTCAAATCCGCCCAACCAACTGACCCCCGTGTTTTGTGGAGATTTTCATGGGTAAAGGCTTGAACCCTATAATCCCGAAAAGCCCTTAAGCCGAAGATCGGGTCGGTGAACGAATCTGTTTTTTTTGTATTCTGTGTCGAACTAAAACCCTTAGGTTCCACCTCGCAAATCTGCGGAGCCGTCCCGTGCGAAAGTCCACATTCTCCGGGCATGTGAAACACGGAGGAGGCACTCGGAGGGTCTGGGGGAAGTACGTGGGTTCGGTGTGCAAGAGACTATGGGATCCAGGTGTTTAGGCCTTGTAGGGTTGCCTTAGGCTTTCTCCCGGGCATCCGGTAAGAGAGTCGAGGGGGCGGGGAGGGTTTACTGTAGGGGGCGCCCTTTCATTTCAGACGTCATGTCTCGCTGTAGGAGGCTCACCACACTATTCTAAACTTTTGTCTAAGGGGGTTCTTGGGTGGAGGTTCAAGATGGAGATGAATCCCTATAGCGCGTGTCGGGCTTTGGATTTTGGTGTTCGGAGCTGCGTTTATTACTTCATTTCAAGTTTGCGCCCCGTTGGGTCTGGCAGAAGGCTTCTCGTCCGCGTGGAGCAGCGTCAACCTGGGAGCGGACTACTGCAAGGTCTTCTGAATCTTGGCCCGGCGGAAAATCGTCGGTGGGACACCGGCCGCGGAGAAAAGGAATGACGTCCGCAGCACAGCATGTGTCTCCAATGGAGTCTCAGGTTTTTGGTAATGCTGGACCCTCTTTGGGGGCCGCCCCCCCTTCCCCTAGAACAGTTGAAGCTGTTTTTGTTCCTCTTTACAAGGTCCATGGGTTTACATGATGTTAAAGGGGAGGAGTTTAGATGAGTTGCACCCTCAAACAGTCAGGGTGTCCTGAACAGCCCAGCCAATCTGACCTTAATCAGGAGGCCCCTACTAAACAGGGTCCAACATTCTCCTCGACCCTTGTTTAAAGAACCCAGAGAACGGATCTGTCTGCAAACCCAAAAGGAACCCCCCAAAAGGTCCGCAAAAAACCTGGCTGGGAGAGTCCCGAAGGAATCGAAACCTTGGGTGGGTTGAGGGCTGAGCGTTTAGGGCGGCCTCGGGAGTGAAGAATCAAAGAGCACTCCGGCACTTCGTTTTGGGGGGGAGACCTTGCGGCTATTTTAAGGACGCAGCGTCCGCCAACTCCGTGACCTGAAAATCACCCATTACCCAAAAAAGCCGTCAATCTGGGAAGGATTCACGGGTCTGAGTTCAAGGATTCAAGGTGTTCAAGCCCCAAATTTTCTAGAGTCATGGTCGATTTGAGAGCTCGGGATTGCGGAGCAAGCTGCTAGACGCGTCCGATGGGACGCGCCGGGTTTGCTTTTTTAGGGCTTTAGGGGTTTTCAGGGTTCCCGTGGCGCATTCCGGCGTCTGCAGCTGATTTGCTCACACGGCCATCATAGGGGCATGGCCCTTCCCGGCTATCTGAAAAAGGAGGGGCTTCCCGAAATCATCTTCGAGGGGCCCCAAGCCTTAAGCCCTAGGTAGGCCGCTGGGACATGTTGTATTCTCCCTTGTTGGGTATAAAAGAGGATCGTAATCAGGAGTGTTTTTGTCAGAGGGTTTTAAGGGCCGGCCAAGGACCTGAAAGGGGATGTTGTCGGGATACGAGAGAACTTTGATTCCTAGGGTTTAGGGTTTGGGGTTTAGGGTTTTAGGGTTTAGGGCTTAGGGTTTAGGGTTTAGGGTTTAGGGTTGGGATGTTCCCCCTTCTACTAGCAGCCCTTAAGACGACAATCCCTAGTCGAGACCTTAGAGCCTGACCTTCTCTGACCGTGCACAGGAGGAACAATGTTGCCTGCGTCTACTGCAGATGTGTGGCTTTGTCAGTTTTCTGCTCGCGAGCATCGTGCCAGCCGTTCTCTTTGCCCAGTTCTATGCCGGCCATCAGGATGCCTGCCGAAGATTAAGTTCAGGTCGTCGACTTTAAGTGCCTAAACATGCCGCACGCATGCTGGCCAGATCTTGGCCAGCAAAAAACACAACGTAATCCACTTCGAACTGCCCCTTGAATCAAAACCCTAAACCCTAATTACACCCTAAAGCGAACCAGGTCGATGCCCGGGTCGACGGCTCTTTTTAGGATTGGACACCCCCCTCAAAAAAGCAGTTCTCAAAGGGGCTTTTGCGGGCCGGAAGCCTTAAAAAGAAGCGAGGTTCTGGCAACGATGAGAGTTCAGGAGCTTGGTAGGCGAATATACGACAACAGGCTACAATAAACGATAATGTGCAATAATATGCTATAAACATGCTATAAAACAATATACTAGAATTTACGACAGCTTACTACAAAGTGCTGTGAAATGCTGTAGAATGCTGCGGGTACTGACCCGTTCGCCCTGGAGTAAACTTAGAAGTAAGCTAGGCTGTAATGGAGCTCTTTGTAAACACCCAGCACATAGTTCGCTGTAGATTTGGGAGCCACTCATGGGCTGACCGAGGACCATTTCGTATGAACTGACTTCGGTACTCCAAGTTTTCGTCTAGGACATATCTAGTTTGTTGTTGGGGTGGGGTTGAGGCATAATCTTATGTGAAGGGAGTGTCAAAATGGCAGTGCCTCAAACTCTTCATGTGAGGACGCGCTTTCGTTAGGAACGAGCGTGTTTGTTTACACTACTCGAGACTAGTGGTATGCAAAAGTGATTGGGTCATCGCTTATAAGCCTAAACCCGGAAACCCTGAAACCCTGAAACCCTAGACCCGAAACCCTAAACCCCAACATGCTATCGTTTGAAGACCTCCATCCGCAAGTCCGAGGCTTGCGGAGTCGCTACAGAGGTTGGGTACGGCAGGTGCGCACAAGAGTCTTTTCAACAGGGGACGCCGGGTCTCCATGTTGGACACGTCCTTTGTTTTCCATGTGCTTCATTTAAAAGAGTGCGGGAGACTATGCTAAGTCATGGTAGGCTATGCCGTAAACCTTCTCCCTACATTGCGTTGTGAACCTCTACCGAGGACAATCGAGGTTCAGGACCTTCAGAGCAGCATCCCCTTGAACTTCGGTACTCCGGAGTTCACACGCGCGGCGGAGACGGTGAAGGGTTTGTGCACGAATAAGCATGGCGACCCACCCTTGTTTTGGAGCGTGTCGCAGGAACTCCAATACTGGTGTTACAACAAGGACACGCCGTCGTGCAACCCTTCCGGTAATGCGACAAATGCGACAGAGCCTGTGCAGTCCTGGGGCATGGCAGCCGCACCCAACAGGCCAGCCGCATGTGGCGATGATGTGACCACCAGAAAGCCCACACCCGAAGCTTCTGTCTCTCGCGACATAGGCCGGGGGCCCAGATTTCAGCCTTTTTTTCCGACTTTTTGAGGGGTTTTAGTCTCAGCACCAAAACACCAAAAACACCGAAAACACGGAGAGCCTAGAGTGCCTAAGAGATGCTCAAAGTCCCAAGTGAAGGAGTCGCCGTGTTGGTCATCGCCCTCCCGGGGTACTTGCTCTACATCGTCCTCTCCCTTGTGATCCTCCGCATCTCCTACTTCGGGAGGATGATGAGTGAGGCAGACTTCAGGCCTGACACGCTTGAAAGGGTTTAGGGTTTCGGGTTTAGGGTTTAGGGTTTAGGGTTTAGGGCTTAATTAGGGTTTAGGGTTTCGGGTTTAGGGCTTAATTAGGGTTTGGGGTTTAGGGCTTTTTTTAGGGTTTCGGGTATAGGGAGGTCCCCAGTTGCAAGAAGGGTTCAGGGGAGGTCCCCAAAAAGGGGAGGGACCATGAAACCTACAAAGGCAAGCCTATGGACCATACACTCCATTATACCCCATCTAGAATACAATCCCCGTAAGGGGACCCTCCAAAAAAAGGTACCCGGGAACCCCCCCCCCCCACCCCCCCAATTTTCGTAAACCCTAAACCCTAAACCCCAAACCCCAAACCCCAAACCCCAAACCCCAAACCCCAAACCCCAAACCCCCAAACCCAAACCCCAAACCCTAAACCCTAAACCCTAAACCATAAACCCTAAACCCTAAACCCTAAACCCTAACTTGCCGGGAAGGTCCTACATCCGACAGCTCCAAGAGGCGCAGCCGACCCTCAAGTGGAGCATCGAAGCCTTCCACCTCAAGGACGCCAAAAAGCATCCCCAAATCTAGGGTTTAGGGTTTAGGGTTTAGGGTTTAGGGTTTAGGTTTAGGGTTCAGGTATTTCCCAAAATAGGGGGTGCCCCTTTAATACCCCGAATAGAGTGGAATCTCCTTAAAGGGACCCCCAAAGAGGGTACCTCTATTTTCGGAAACTCTACGGAAGAGAATGCAGAGTATACTTATTATACACATATGTATGTATGTTCGAGTAACGTTTAGCCTGTTTCTAGATATAGATACAGGTATGTATGTAGCATACGGCGCAGAGTAAAGAGTATATCTTCATTCTACTCTTGAATGGTTGGATGAGTCGGAGGAGTCACGAAGAAGTAGGCCCCTCGAAGTATCGGCTGGGATTTCGCACGGATTAAAGTCTTTGCTCAGCCCACAGCTGCACACTGCCCTTCTGGTAGAAGAACCGTCAGGAGCGTCTGAACCACAACGGGAAAAAGGTGACGCAGAAGATCGTGACGCATTCGGCAGAGATGGACTATCCAATCGCGGGCTTCAAGGATGAAACGCAGTCGCCCGATCAGATGCTCGCAATGCCGCTGGAGGATCGATTGGGATCCATTCTTTCACGGGCCCTTCATGACAGGGTTAGTTTGAAAGTTTTTGTAGCGACTATGTATTGTACATACAAAAACTTATACGACTTGTTACCCGCTTTCTATACACCGTTTTCTAAATACTATACACTGTGTACTCACTGGCATGACGAAGTTTCTCTTGTCCTCATGCATGTCTCGGCCGGTGCCAGCATGTTCAGTGTGTTATACCCAGTTTCTATCGAATCTCGTCCCCGACCCTTCTGGTGTAATGATGCAGGAAAACCCATTCGTTCAGCCATCTGGAGAAGTAGATACTACGCATTATGTGCCACGGATGCTGGTTGCTTGGGATTTCCGCGCCAAGCCCTCAAAAAATCTGAAAAAGCCTTAGGTTCCATCTCCTTCATGACGGAGACCGCGACGTAGAAGCTGGCGAGCAGAAGACACGGCACCTGAATCGATCCATCTCGCGGTTTCGGGTTTAAGGTTAAGTTTAGGGTTTAGGGTTTAGGGCTTAAGTTTACGGTTTAGGGTCTAGTATTGCATACGACAGCTACTCGTACTAGAGTAGGCCACCATTCGTAGGGCTTAACATGGTGCAATACAAGCAGCAGATGCGCAAAAATAAGTCTACTTTATAAACCCCTAAACCTTAAACCCTGCACCCTAATCTCCTAAACCTAAACTCCCAAACCTCAAGCCCTAAAGTACACTGAGGCACCTGATCTTGTGGTGTGAGATTTTGGAGCCAGAGATGTTCCCCAGCAGCAAAGCGGAGGAAAGCCACATGGAGGCTCAGAAGGAAGAAGACCCTAAACCCTAAACCCTAAACCCTAAACCACCCGAAACCCTGAGAAACCCTGAACCAAGAAACCCGGAGGCTCAGAAGGAAAAGTTTTTCAGCGACAACCACCGTGATGGCCAGACGATTGGCAAAGACGAGTCTCTGAAGCTCAACTGCGAGATCAAGCCAAGGAAGCTGCTTGTCGTTCT